AGCCTTCCAGGTCTCCTCCTCAGGCCGTCTTTTCTCTACCTCCCTTAAGTCCTGGGGCCCCAGGATTCCCTTCTTAGCCACCTATCCGTCACTTTTTGTCTCCTAAGCAAAGACTACCACTCTCAAGAGTCTGTCAGGCTCTGTCTGTTCTTCCTCCTATGATTCTCCAGCTGAACAGCCAGTGCTGGAAAACACTAGGGACAGACCAGGACCTTGGGGCTTCTGGGAGATATCTCAGGGTGTGGAGATGTGTGAACCCCAGGGAAGACATTTATAGCCCTTCTACCTTCACATCTTAATACCCAAGTTTTATTTATTTGTTTATTTTAAAAATAGTAAAATCCAACAAAACAAGACAGAACAAAGCCAATCAAGACAATGCAGCAAAACTGGCACAGAACTGGGAACAGGATACTGGGATAACAATCATAGGTCCCATAGTATATCTTGTTATCATAGTAATAGTTTTCTATTCCATCAGGTATAGCAAAATCAAACCAAAAACAAAGCACTACAAAACCAATCAAAATAGAATATTGAATAAAGCCAAACAATTAATCGGAACAAAGCAAGACAGTGAAAATATTGGCCTCCAAAGACAAGATAGAAGGAAAGTGTTCTTTCTCCACTGTCTCTCACCTGACATTCTGAGCCAATACCATCCTCGTGGTTGTAGCCTGCCTCAGCTGCATGCAGGTAATGAATTAGCAACTCACTGCCTGCTAGCACTGTCAGGGATGTCAATGCTGTGCCCACGGCTGGGACAGGGCCTCACTGCAGTCAGCTGGCCAGGGCCCAACTCCGGAGTTCCATTCTTAGGGTGCAGTGGTAGCAGGTCTTGGAAGGGTTCCCTATGGGCAGAGCTTAAGACTCTAGGGGTGCATGTGTGTGTGTGTGTGTGTGTGTGTGTGTGTGTGTGTGTGTGTGTGTGTGTATGCGCCCACACACTTTATGTGGAAATAATCTCTGAAAACACATACATAGCAGTAAAGGAAAAGCCAGCAGGACTGGAAACAAGTAACTAAGGGCACAGTCTCAGGCAAATTCTAGCAGAGCAGGTTTAAGGAGGAAGAAACAGCCTGGAACCAGCAGAGTAAGTGTCAGCTTCCCTGTAACTACACTCCCGCGTATGGAGCCTGAGTCACTGAACTAAGAGTGGATGTGGAACTGTAACGTGAGCTGTGCACAGCTGAGTAGGCATAGTAGGCTTGGCATAGACTGCACAGTGGCGAACTGTGGCATGGGTGCCGCAGCAGGTGTTTGCTATCACTGAAAGCTCTAAAAGGTTCGCCACCACCGGCATAGAGCTTCTGGTTGGGGCTGCTTTGGGTCAGGTATTAGGGAAGACTCTCCTAAGTAACTTAGTCTTGTCATGGGGCTACAAAGAAGGGACCAGTTAGGCAAAAGCCTCAGAGGAGAGAATCCTAAGTAGAAGAGCCTTTAATGCAGACCTAAAGGCAGAAATGCACTTTCTGTGATGAGCGAGGGAGGTTCCCAAAAGACAACAGACACTAAGGAAAGAGGACCTGAGAAGACTCCTGAGCTTTGCTGGGTGCGGTGGGGCACGCCTCGATCTGCTCATGGCTGAATTGGTTATCCTGGCTCTCAGTGCTTCAATACCTGAACACCAGTGAACCTTCCTTTATGCTGCCTGAACCAGTCACTCCCACAGCTGCACCACAGACCTGGTTGTTACCAGAAATTCTCCTTTGAATTGTGAACCCTGGAATCTGACCATGAGTTCCTGTTCTTCAAGCACGGTCCCTCAGCCTTGTTCGCTGCCCCTCAGATTCTATTGTTTCTAATTATTATTTTATCATTTCCCTCAACTATCTTGTCCCACTCCCTCTGTACACTTTCCTTCAAAATCCACAACTCTGGATAAACGGAATATATTAATAATCACTTACTCAAACTGACACACAGTGCAGTCCAGAAGTTCTCAGCATTTCCCTAGTGAGCCCACGGTTTTTCATAATTTTCTGTCACTACCATAGCGCCTCTGACTTTTCAGCCAATAACCTCTCACTGCATAAGAAAACACAATCACCCTATAAGGACCTCCCCTTGCTCCCCTGGCCTGCTGGTGCCTTCTCCTCCCGGGAATCCACCTATATGTGGGCCAGCTCCCCCAAACACTCTGCAGAAAGGCTTTGGCTCCTTTCTGTGGCAGCATGGGTCACTTCCATCAGATGATCCCACAAATATAAGAGCATGTGTTAGTAGTATCTTTCAGCTAAACAACAAATAATGCTCATCTCTGCGGCTCAGGCTTTCATCTCATTTCTCTGCTAACAATACTAATCACCCTTCTTATTTTATGTATTTCGATCCTTTGCTGTCTTGGCCCTCACCAACCCTGGAAGCATTACCCCACCCAGGGCTGGCACCAATTCCTGGATAAATAACCCATCCTTGACTGCACTGTTTACATTCCGACAAACTCAGTCCCAAGACCACACACACCCTACTTCTTCCTCCAATGGGCTCTCACATTCTGGGCTACTTCCCTCCTGCCCAAACACCACAGAGCCAAACGCTGGACACACAGGGTTTCCGTGCCCAAGAACTTGGTGAAATTAAGCTAGGCAGACTCAGCTTCCACACCTCATCTGCTCGTCTTCTCCCCCTTCCTGTGACCACTCCAGTGCCTCCCCCCACCGTGTGGCCCAGTGGCACGGCATAGTGTGGTATGTCCACCACATGGCCCTTCGGGAACCTGAACTGCGGTCCAAGATCATCATCTCCTGTCTGTGGGCCTGACTGGGCCTCCAACATTCTCCTAAGTGCTGGGCTTTCCCAGAATGCTATTTTCCACTCCTCAGTTTGCTCTGATCTGGTTTCTACTCCCATGGCTGCGTGGAAACTGCTTGTGTTAAGGGCTCTGATGGCCTCCCCAAATTCAGTGACCTCAAATCTAATAGGCACTTTTTGAGCATTCATTCATGTATGAGGGGATCCCCACCTAAAGGAGCTTGCCCACTAGTGAGGCAGACAACACATAAAGAGCACATAAAGCAGTATTAAGGGGCACTTCCTATGGCCACTTGGTAACTAACACCCCCAAAGTGGAGGCAAATTGGAGCTAAGTGTCTTTCCTCAAGAAGGCCGGTGCTCCCAGCATGGCTTCCCAAACTCAACAGGGCGGCCCTGCCACTACCCATCACCCATGGCTGGTAAGACAGGTCGGGGACAAGACGAAGGGGCACTTAAGTCCAGCATCTGAAGTGCCTGCAGCTGCTCAGTGCTTCTGTCCCTCCCCGATGCAGATGGAAAAAGTGCTTCCCCTCAAAGCCAAGTGAACCAGCTCTGAAATAACATCACAGTGGATGGGTAGCCAGCAAGAATGAGGTGGCATCTCCACCCTGGAAAGGCTGCAGCCCAGCTGCAAAACCTGCAGGCTCAGCTTGGTGCTGCTAAGGAGTCCTGGCAGCTAGGTATGTACCCCAACACTGCAGAGTGTACGCCAACGTGAAGGTGCTTCCCTCCCCGCACCCCTTATTCAAAACGCTCCCTCAGAAGGTGTAGTAAGTACTGTCCTGGGTTTACCTCTCAGCAAACAGAACACCCAGGACTTCCGCTAGGGCATCATGAAACTCTTCTTGCTCATTGAGTGTGTGGACAGAGGGTTGGGAAGGAGAGGGTTCTATGGAAAGGGTGAGACAGTAAAGGGAGGCTGGGGACACAAACATGACTTTGACTGGTTTGTGGTTCCACTTGGGCTCACTTTGCCCTGTGCCATCTGCATGACAATGACGATGAGGGTCCCAGAACCAGCCAGATCTGCCCACAAAACCTAAAAGTCAAGGCTCTAGACCCCACCCCGATGCTTCCTGAGCTCTGTCCTGTGTCTCCTCCCAGTCTTGTCTTCTGCAGTCACAGACCTGCATCCCTGCCAAGGAGAGGACTGCAGGCTCTGTGGATTCTGCCCAGACTGTGCTGGGGAACGCAGCCTCCTGGGCCCTCATTCCTGTCTCTCAGACAACTCCTGTCTCCCTTGGTAAAACAAGAAAGGGAGTGAGGGGGAGAGGACTGGAGGGCCACTGATTGGCTCATTCATGAGTTCTGACCAAAAAAGATTAATTAAGACATATTGTACCTAATACATAAGGTTACTATGAGCACCAAATAAAAACCGTGAAGAGATTACCAAAATACAGGTCACAGGCCCTTAACATATTTGACACAGAGGTCCTCCTGGCCAAGATTATTCATGACAGATTTTTTTAAATTTGGAGGTGGACCTATTTGTTTCATTAGTTTTTAAAAAGGAATATACTTTGATATAAATCTCAAATAAAGTCAAAAATAAGCATAATTAGTAGGAATTGACAATCAACCAGGGAGCATGGCCTAGACTGATGTAAGGAAGAAAGGGTATCAAGACATGAGAGAGACGATGTGGTCAGGGAAGAAGGATATGCCAACGCAGGCGGCGAGATCCACCAACTCCAACGTGGAGCTGTGAGCAAGGCAGAAGCCTGCTAACTCCCGGGTGGAAGGCAAGACACAGGTGCACATCAGAGGAGCCACAGCATCCGCGACTCTCCAAAGTAGAGGGCCAGCTTGATAGCGAGGCTGGAGCTGAAGCCGAAAGGGACCTTCATCCCGGCCCTGCAGAACCCACAAAGAACTCAGTGTGTGAGGAGCCTGCAGCAGGAGTCCAGGGGCCTCACGTGAGGGGAGCTGCTCGCCCTGCCCTGCACCTTGCCTACCCTTCCTCCTGCGACACCCACACTCCACCCGGCTTCCTAGACCAGTGTGGGAGCAGGAGCCTCGTCCTCTGTGCTCCCTGGAGGACACTAGTGCCCAGGCCGGTGACCCACATGCAGTACACCCTCTGCACACACCCACAAGGACAGCAGCGGCCTTTCACCTTCCAGCCTGGTCCCCAGAATCACATTGGGCCAGAAGTTTAAATCAGGTAGATTTAGGGAGACCCAGCCGCAAAATTAGGTAATACCAGAAAATAATCCTAGGTCCAAACAAGAAGCAGAAAGTGAACTTTTTTAGCAAATGTTTATTTATACCAAAATACAAAACATTTCCGAAGCAGAGTAATGTTACATGAGTCATTTAAATACTAAACCTTTACTTGGTTTAACTCGCAACACTCCCGGGGTACCTTCGAGGCTACACATCTGGTCACGGGACGCACTGTGTTGTTTCTCTCTTGGTTCGCTCGTTTTGATTTGTAATTCAGGATATGAGCATGCAGTGTTACTGGCGAAGACTTGGTTAGGGTTCAGCAAGCCTGAAAATACCAGCAAGTGGAGCCTGGAGTGGCAGCCTGAGCCAGGCAGACTGTGAATCTCTCCCTCTTGGGGCTTTGGGGTCACTGTTTCTAACTGGCATATCCCAGGCCAGAGGAATCACTGTGGCCAACAGCCAGGGTGGGCATTATTGCTCAGGGCCCCGCAGCAGTGTGACAGAGCAGTCACCTCCTGGAGCTCCTCTCGGTGGGCAGGGAGGGGCAAGACAGTAGATGCGAGACCAACTGGAGGGTGGCAGCAACAAGAGACCCAGGCCAGCAAAAGGGACCCCGAGGGAGCCAGCTGAGGAAGGGCTGGGAAGGAGAGACTCCAGCCAGTCCTGGCTCTGATTCGGTGGCCAGAGAGCCCACCTCTGGGAAGGGCCCTTTAGCAGTGCTTACAGGTTGGAGATTGTGAGGAAGGAGCACCTGGTCGGAGTGTAGCTATTCCCAAGCATCTCTCCACTCCCTGACAGGAGAAACGGAAGGGGAGCGGACGCAGGAGCGAGTGTGGCCCCTCGCCACATCCCTGGGCACACCTGTCTCCTTCAAGCCCCAGTTGGTGCATTTACTTTGGCATTGTGCACCTGTAAGCTCATGCACACATTCACATGCACACACATACATCACACACCCAAATGCCTGGTTTCCTTTCCACACTGTTCAGGTAGCAGGACCCCACACCTCATCTCTACTACCATCATCCTCTACTCCCAGGGTCCCCTGGGCCCACTGGTCCCCAACAGCCGGCCCCAGGCTTGGCACATGCTGGCATTCCCAGGCTTTGAGAAGAGGGTGATGGAGCAGGGAGCGCCCCAGAGACAGGTTATACAGAGTGTAGAATGTGTTTGTGTAAGGCTTAGGTACAGCACCGATTTTATGTTTTTGTAGTTTGATTTCTAAGTTATCTTTTAGAAGAAAAAAAAAAAAGCTTACTGAAAAAATAGTGTTTTTATTTACTTTTGAGTTACATACCTGAAGTTCAAAAAGTAAGCCTCTAGTCACCATCCAAATTCACACCCAAAGGTGTTCTGTACACGGCTGTACAACATGTTGGTTTGTCTTTAATTTGGAACCAAAGTCAGCCAACCAGTCAATACCGTGAAGTCAGCTGCTCTTGCTAACTGACCTTAAGCAGTTCATTCATACAGAAAAGAAAGACAGAGAGAACACAAAATCTACTCCCAAGTTACCCACCCCAAACCCCTAGGGGAAAAAAAATCAAAGAAGACAAAATACAAGATCTAAAGAACCAGCAGGAGGAGCCAGTCCAGCCGGCTGGCCTCTCAGACAGCACCATAAAGCACCCTAGCACGGTGATGTTACAATACTCAACATTCGAGAAATGGAAACAAGGTCCGAAGAGTCTTCACAAGAAGACCTGGCATGAATGGGGGAAGCCCCAAGGAAAGCTGAAGGAAGCAAATAGAGTTCGAAATGAGAGCAAGAAATCTCATGACGAAACCGAGTCAATCCAGACTCCTTAGAAAAGAAGAACCAAAAGCAGGAGGCCATTAGGTATCTGGAGGAGGGCGCTGGGACCCCTCCCGCACCCCTCCTCACCCTCCCCTTTGGGCATCCACAGAGCTCGGGGTAACAGGAGGGGAACCTCAAGAACCGCCTCCATGTGTGTAATGTGAGCAGCACATCCAGGACAGCGCGGTTCCCCCAGGTGGGAGAGCATGAGGCCACACGTGGTACCGAGAGCTGCTCACGTTAGCAGAGGCTATCCCTCCTCACCGGGTTATGGACAAGGACGGGTATTTAGTGACCACACCCCATCCATGGCCTCCATCTCTGGCCCCACGAACAGCAGTTTGGAAATTAAATCTGAATGGTACTTGAAGACTTTCTCCCACTCACACATTCAATTTAGTAAATGGAGCATCAGCTCTGCCCTTCCCCTCCCACATCTCGCCTAAAGCCCAGCATCCAGCGCATTCCATGGAGCAACCTCCCAGTGCAGACTGCACACTGCCCAACAGCAGAAGCCCCGCCCTGCAGTGGGACTGCATGCTCACCGATGCAGTGCTGTGCAGGCCTGACAGCACTTCTGGTGTCCAGTGCTTGTCCAAGGTGGATCCACGTGAGCCTTCACAGCAAAGGCCCAAGAACAAGGACAAGGCCCGTGCTCTCCCCAGGCGCCCTGGTGATAACAATGCAGAAAGAACACAGCCTGCATGATCTGTGGGAGAGCATCTCCCAGCAGATCTATTCCTTACTCTCATCCATGTATCAGACAGAGGTAGCAAAACAAGAACTCTACACATCCCCCTACTTCCTACCAAAAGGGAAAAGCACCAAAATCCCATAACCCTTCACTGTCTGGGGGCTAAGGAGTAAGTCACAAGCAGAGGGGGCAGCTCACCCCCTAGCAGTGGCTGTGGGCCTCGAAGGCTTCGTCAGACGACCCCTCCCACCTACCTGTCCCATTAACAGAAAGGCTCAAAAACAGGACACCTTGCTTACTCCATGGTCAGATCCCACTGCCCTCTGTTCCACACACCGGGAGATTGATACGAGCTGCCTGTTCCTTCCCCTCCAGTGCCACACCTCACACCCTCTTTCTGAGAGCTGGGTGAGGAAGGACACTGGAGAGTAACACGCCCTCTGCAGGCTCCACAATTTCAAGGTCCCTGTCTTCCCTGCTTTCTCCCAAATGAAATGTCCACTTACACTGACAAATGCGATGGCAATGTGCAGGCTCTCCTCATCTCCCACACCTTGTGTGGCTGAGGATCAAGCCTTTGGCTCAATGTGGAAAGAGATGGAATCTTGAAGGAGCTCTGGGCCTCATGGAGTACACGCCCTTTGAGGTGCCTGTGTGCTGAACTGACTGATTCTACAGGTTACATGTGACCAGGAATGGGACAGAGTCCACTGAGAAAGAGAAAAGGCTGGCTCTGAGAGCCAAAAGCATAGTCACAGAAACCCCTCTTTGGTAGCTCAGGAGGGGGTACGAGCCGGGAAGGGACATAGAAGGCGCTGCTCTTCCTCTTGTTCAGTCTCCCAGAAAAACCTTGTAAGAATCACCTGCTGCAGCTTCTCCTGGCCTCCCGGGGAGTCTTAGGGAAAGATTAGTCATGTGCCAGTTGCAGCCAGGGTTGCAGGCCTCCCAGCACTGCATGGACAGGCCGCTCTCCCACTGTGTCCATAGACAATAGGAAATATTTGGAGCCCCAGAAACAGTGCCCTAATGAATGCAGGGCTGTATAAGATCCACTAAGAAGCAGAAGTTAGGCTCAAGCTCCACCCTGACCCACTTTTCTCATTAACACTACCAACATCCTCATGACCGGGGCATCTGAGTTGCTCAAATGGTCAAAATCCAGTCAAGAGCTCTTAGACAGCTCTTAGACAGCATGGGGAAGAGGGGATAGTGTTGCTGCTTTTGGAGTTATGAGCAGAAACAAGAGATGAGAGCTTGTAGTCACTGAATCTCACCAGGCTCCCTGCACCATCTGGCCCTGCAGTAGCTTCAAACACGTTCTGAGTACTTGGCAAGTCAGAAGGAAGAGCTAGCACCAGGAGCTGGCTGCCGAGGCCACACGGCACGTCGCCTTTGCAGCGAATATGAGGTCTTGAATTCTCAGAGGTATTCTTCAGCCTAGGCAGACTTACTGGCTCCAACTCAAGTGGATACCCCCCGCCCCCCAGGAATCTCCCATTCTTGGTCACATTTTTCCAATACATTGTTCAGGGAAGTCAGTCCCTGACTGGGTACCAGAAGGAAGGTCCCAGTAAAACTCACCCTCCCGGATCTGTCTAAAGTTAATCTCTCATTCCTGATTGTCCATTCATTGTACCAGGATTGGATGACTTCTTCCAACAGCACTTTGTTTTCTAATTAAAACTAAATGAAAATAGCATCAATGACATATTTATACTAAATATCACATTCACACTGGTTCCAAGAATCTGCAGTGATAATTCTCAGGGTATCTCTTTTCCAAGACTGGGTCCTCACAGTCAGCCTCACAAACTGTTACCACCAGTCCTCCAAAACCTGCCGTGAGCCCAGGTGCTACAAACCAGGACGGTCCCTAAAAATCCTGACCACATTCTTTACCAGCTACTGAGCTGGATTCCAAGGAGCTGGACATCAGCCACAGCCACCGAACGATGGCTCCATGGGGTCTCCAGCCCCCTAGCACCCCCACTGGATCAAGCACCTTCCCAGTGTCTCCTACTAGTGCCAAGAGACACTTGGATCCACACTCTCTGAGGTCATCGGATCCCACAACCACCCCCCCCAACATTCAGCTCACTTGTGCATCTACAAGTGAGTTGTTTAAGTTTTTTCATATATACACATTTCTATTAGAAAGACCCAAGCAGCTCTGGACAGAGAATGCATCCCAGAAAGGACGCACAAGGAGGCAGCATCAAGGCATGAGCTAGTTCCCACTAGGGAAGGTGACACTGCTCAAAGCATCTCTAAGCACAGGTACAAAAATAAAGCAAACTATGACTTCATACAGATATATAGATAAGCTAGCTAGATAGACTTGATATAGGTTTTCTCTCTATTTATGTATGTGTGCAGGGGCGCGAGCCCACGCACCCCACCCAGCTCGCATCTCCTGCTTGTTCATGAAGCCCCCAATCTGCAAGGGCCACTTGCCTGAGGCGCCCACTGTAAATCATTACTATTGCATCTGATTCTCACCCCCCAACATAAATTCCCCCAGCTCCTTAAAATAGAACAAGTTATATATATTTATATAATTTTATATACAATCTCCATAAAAAATACACCCAAGCTGGCGTATTATTAATGTGACCCTACTACCAAAGAAAGCCAACATGAAGGAGGGTCTCCCAGGCCTGATGCTACTCAGGCAAAGCAGTGTGTCCCTACACATCTCTTAACACACACACAACACACACACAGATTCCATGCTCGCACAACGCTCTTGCACACACCCACCACACACATTTCCTGAACCCAGGAAGGGAACACTAGAATAGTTGGCAGGCAGGGGTTAGAGAGCAGGAAGATGCCTCACACTGCAGGACAGTAAGGGAATCCTGTTCCTCTGACCCAGCCAAGGACAATGTTAGCTCATGACCAGACCGCTCATTGTCCACAACAACCATTAGAAATACTCACTGATAGAGTGACTGAGTTTCCCTTTCAAGGACTGTGAGATGATCATGAGGTTTAGTCCCTCCATCAGATACAAGGTTTCATAGCTTGCCAAGCCAAAGAGAAGCAAAATACCACCTGGCCCTCTTCATTGGCATGAGGGGGCATTGGGCATTGGCCCCTTCCATCTACTTAGGCAAAACCCGAAACATAGCCGAAACAAGCATGCTTGCAGTATTCCTAAGGCTGAAAAATGAAAATACCCCTCCCCAGCCCAACCCTAGTACCCTCCCAAATTCCCTTCCCCACCCAACCACTTCCCTGTCTCAAACCATGCACAAGTTCAAGATCCCTGGAGCCATATAGAAGTGAGGGAGGGGAGGGAAGGGAACCTAACTCATGAGTGTATGAGATACAGGGGCAGAGCTAGCCCTAGTTCCTAAAATAATCCAGGAAATCCAGTGCTAGGGGCAGAGGCACAGGATTAGTGAGACAGGTTTCTTCAAGACCCACAGGAAAAACAGGCTCAGATGGCCATTCCTGTCACCAAGTAGAGGGATGGGAAAGGCAGACACCAAGGGCCAGGGATGGGAGGAGGCTCTGGGATACTTTGGTTACTCCCCAGGCTGGCTTTCCCTGGCAGCATCCAGAGCTGCTGTCCCCAGCTCTCTTCAGAATCCCTAACCATTGCCACTGACCCCTGCAGAAGAGAGTTCCCAGGCAACAGTAAAGACTGGCTGCTGCTCTATGGAAGTGTTTATCAATCAATTCCTCCTCTAAAGCATTACCAGCCATTAATGGTATTTGCAATAATTCTTAGTTTTTCATTGACACAGAAACCCTGAGGGTCTACAGGTGTCTTTGAACAACAAGTCAATAGACTGGGAATTTTTCTATCAGTTTAAAATGAGGTCCTAAAAAAAATCTCTACTCTCTTGGCAAAACAACACACAAAACATCTGGTGGGAAGAGTATATTTGCTCCTCAAAGACTTATCTGAAAGTGTAGATAGGGGCCCAGAAATAAAGGTCTTGGCCCTAAGCAGACGGACCGTCAGAGATGACACGCCCCTGACCAAACATCAAGTTGGTGAGGGCGCTGAAAAGCCCAGTCTTGGCCTTGAGCCTTGGTTTACTGACTTCTTCTAAAGAGGTGATTTTTAATTCCACCTCTTGATCCAAATGGAAGCAGAGCTGGAGACTTTAAGAAAGGAAGAATGTCTGCTCTCTGATTTCAAGGTGAAATGGTTTCCACCTCAGCTGCAGATGGGTTACTTTCCAAAGAAGAGAAGTAAAGATAAAACCTCAAGGCCTGACCACTCTGTAGCTCCACAGCCTGAACGGACTCTGTGTAACCCAAGAAAGCTGACAAGTACGGACGCCCAGCTCCCACTGTCACCAGGACCTGTGAGAATCTTCAAATGGTGGACAAAAGGAAAGGCACTCTGCCACTTCTGCTTACTAAAACAAGCTCAGGAAGCCCCTGAGGACAACCCTTTCTTCACCACCTGACCTAGAGCTAAGGATAGACTGGCCATTTCAAGACGAGTCTCCGTGCGCCAGACCTGAGGACATTCCAAAAACAAAGACAGAAAGTTGAAGAACATGACAAGGATGACCACATCTCAGCATTTAGCATCAGAAGCTAATTCTAGAGGCAGCGGGAAGTCCAGTTGAGAAGCAAGATCTTTTCCGACATGCAGTCTGAGCACGTACACCAGCCCAGCCTCAGCCTACTCTCAGTGGCTAAGTCCCTTCCCACTTCTGTCCCCAGGGTCTCTGCTACTATCTCTCCTCCATCTGACCCTCAGTGGACAGTCACTTGCCCCTTTGGGACAATGCCCCAGTGTTGACCCTAAATTGTCAGGGTGCAGATGCCCTGAGGAGAGAGGCAAGGCTTGGGGCCCCTGCCTGGGTGCCACCAGGCAGACCCAGGACTCCTGCCCCTACACCATGACAGAGCCAGTGCTCTATGCCCTTTTGGCCTTCCACCATGGCAAAGGACCAGGCCTCTTCTCCATGTTCCAGCTCTCTAACACCTCCTCCTAAAACATGGGCAATGGCTGCTTAACGGAGAGCTGGCCACTGAGGCCCTTCCTGAGCCCTCCCCACAGCAGTACTGAGCAGGACTCTGAGCCACCATCTGCCTGGAGCCTGTACTGCCTGTCCTGGAAGACACAGAAGGGCAGGCTGAGCTAAGAGCACTGACGGAAATGCTCATAGCTCCCACAGAGCATCAGGGAGCCTCCCCTAATTCCTGCCCTTCTCTGTCCTTAGGCTCTTTCCTACTGCCTCCCCCAACCCCTATGATGTCACCCAAAGCTCTTTACATGAAAGCAAAGCAAGCTGTTCCTTCTCAGGGTTCTCTACATACCAATAAAATATATTTTATCTATAGTTCTTCCCCCAGCCCACACCAAAAACCCAAAAGACACTTGCAAACAATACTGGAAGAAACCGTTACAGCCACACACACTTCAGGTCTGAGTCAAACCCTGTGTGGTAGCAAAGATGCCTGATGTTCTGTGGCCTCAGTTTCTCTCCTGAAGCTGTTTGTCAGTCTTGCCAGAAAAAAGAGAAATCTACATGTGAAGCTTATCCAGTTTCCTGTGTGAGAAAAGGGCAGAGGAATAAACAGCTGAAATCCATTTAACCCCAGGTATTTTAGAAGAGAAATAAAGACGGAGACCATGGAAAAACACCAACAACCCTCCCCGTCCACTGCTGCTGGAGCCATCTCCAGCATCCCAACTGTGACCCAGATCCTCAAGACAGGCTCTGGCCCCACTGGCCCTTGAAACCTAGTGTTCCTCCTGCTAAGAAAGCAAGTGTCGAACAGCCTCTCCCACCCTGGTCTTTCCACAAGCCCTGCAAGGACGGAAGGCCAGCCGGTGGGGCCAGTCCCGGGCAGATGCTCCGCTGGAACCGAGACCACGCACACACGGCTTCGGGGCAGAGCCATGACGCCTGCTGGTGGCCAGTCAGCACTCAAGATTCGGATGCACACCAGACTCGCCTCCTTATTGCTCACTACTTCCCTGCACACTTGCAGTCTTTCAGCTTCTTAGAGACTTCACTGTCTTCCTGGTCTGTGGACCATCTGCTGACCCAACAGCCACTGTTTCCAGCCCAGATGCAGAAGAAAGCTGCAGATAAAAATCCAAGATACAAGAACAGGATTTTATCTGAACTGTGTCTATGGCAAGGCTACCAGATCCTAAAACAGGAAGTCTGGAAGACTGATCTCCCAGGCTGGAGGGTGAAGAGTCCTAAAAAGCTTCATAGTTGTCATTGCCATGTTCAAAAGCAGAGCACAAAGGACACTGGTCCCTAATAATGGATCCACTCACCATACAGACTCACATGCACCTGTCAACACGGCCCGCTGAACAGTATGCTAACACCCTCATCCTCCGTCCCATGGCGGAACAAAATTGGATTCTGTGAACTTCCTCTGAAGTCTTTAAAGGAAAGAATGAAACAGCTTCCAGAGGTATAGGAAGGAGGCTGGCCTCCAAGGACACAGTCACAAGAAGAAAGCCACATAAGGAGGAGAAAAAGCCCAAGGCCACTGAGGATAGGTAGACCTTGTGTCCTTTCCAGCCCTAGGGACACCGCAACAGGGCTGCTGCCCAGTGGCCAGCAAAAACACAGCTTCCACTATTTGGTCTTCTGTACTGAGGTGAGGGGTGCTGCCAGAGGCAAGGAGAGAGGGTGGGAGTCAGCACCTCTGTCCACCTTGGGCCCAAGAAAGCCCAGATACGGGCCACAGTGCCTCAGCCACAAGCCCTGCTTCCAGCCCCACACAACATCCCAAGGAAGCAAACTTCCCACCTGAGCGTCTCTTCTTTCCTTTCCTAACCTCAAGGCCCAGACAACTTTAAGGCCTAAAATTCCCACAAGGCTGCTTCAAAACAGCTGCCTGAATTCAACCTTATGTCCAACAGCCCTGACACTCCATACCCACATTCCACCCAGGCCCTAGGTGGCACCCTGGGGGAGCAATCACACACTGCCAGAGGACAGAGGCCACGGACAGACCCACCGAGAGCCCCACAGCTCACGCTGGCTAGGAGCGCAGGTAGGTGTGCTCCCAACAGCCCCCAGGAGAGACACTGCAGGAACAGCCCAGGTGGTACAGTGGCAAAGGCAGCATGGCCACTGGAAGGACACAAGCTGTTGCCCACTCTACTATCAACTTCCTTCCCCAGAGTTGCTGCCCAGTGGTCAAGGGGATTCCCACAGAGGAAGGCATCTGCTGAAGCATCTGGAGGGCACCCCCAGAGCCCACAACTAATCCCAGCATGACTGAAACGACCCTCTGCACCTCTTTCACCCGTGTCCAGAAACAAACTGTGGTAGGTGGCTTGCAGGGCAGAGCAGGCCCCCCCAGTCACTAGGACAGAGAAGAAAGCACCAGGCCTGGCTGGCTGAGACGAAGTCTGTCCCCAGGATGGAAGCTCCAGCCAAAGAACCAGCCTGCTAGCTGCAGCTAGAGGCCAAGCTTACTTTGGTCCTTGGGCCAAGCCCCTGGCAGCTGCAGTGAGACCAGCAGAAGCCTTCGAGGGCTTTGACATGGCTGATGTCCAAGCAGGTCACTGGGAAGAGGTGAATAACCCACAAGACAGCAGCACCAAGAAGAAAACACTTCCAGGAACCTGGTGGCTCCTGCCATCCTCAGCCAGACCAACCTGCAGGGGAAGAGGGGACGCCAGGGCAGCCACACATTCCACCCATCCTCAGCCCAGCACCCTGCTGGGAAGACCAGGACACCGAGCAGGAAGACTGCCCACTGTGGAAGCTTCCGGTGCAAAAGGTTTGAAGTAGGGCAAGATTTTGGCAAGAAGACTAGGGCCAGACCCCAGCCGACCACCCTTGCCCCTCTATTCCGAAGCCCTGACCAGCTCACCTTTATTGTACAAGGAAGGGGTACCCTAGTTCCACCAGAGCCCACACGACAGGAGTGTGGGTCCTGAGGAAGGGAGGAGGACCGCAGGCAGTGCAGAGCAGCAGGCGGCGCGTGCAGCCACGGGTGGCTCTGCACAAGTGGCAATTAATCAATCTGGAGAATTAGCTTCCACAAAAGGAAAGGAGGAGCCAATCAGCTGTGGTGGAACGCGCCTCAGACAGTGCTCTGCACAGCCGCATATAATTAAAGCCATGGCTGCTCCAGGCTCCGAACAGGTGGCTCCAGGCTCCAGGACCTTTGGCCACAGGGCTCCCAGCTGAAGGAACTGATGTGCAGCCAGATGGCTCTGGCGCCTGTCAGCCCCACCACTAGGCAGCTTCCAGTTCTGAAGCCTGAGCCAAACTGCGGAAGAAGAAAGATGCTGCTCACCTCTTCTCCATCAGTGGCCAAGCAATAAACACTATGTTGTGTTCAGCGGTGATGCACTGCTGAGTTCCTACTGGTAACTGTGGCAGGGCCCCATTTCTGCTCTGGATGCAAGAAACTACAGAGGACGATGGTGAACTTGGCCAAGAGGTGTGAGCTCTTTCGGCAGGAAGCCCCACAAGGCAGACGTGTAGGCACCGGGCTGGCCAGGGCCAGCCCTGCTCACCAGCCCCAGCTGTCCACTACTCCTCCTTCCTCATGGACCACGGAAAGAAACAGCACTTTGCTCTGAAGTACATATATATACACATAGAGAAACCCACCAACTACACACGTGTGCATTGTATCTATATCTATATATATGTGGGGTCAGGAAAAAGGGACAGAGGTCCAGCCCTCTCCCGGGACTCAAAGATCTGAAACTGAAGCCGAGCAGAAAAAGCCACAGCTTTCCTTTTCTTCATATCCAGAGACAGCTGAGGAAGTGAGAGGATTTCATCTCAGTGAAGAGGGGAGATGGGACAGAGCCAGGTGACCCTGTGTCACGAGTCACTTCCTGACTCTGACCCACAGGCGGAAGGATGGCCCTGGCTCTGGTCCTGTGGACCAGGCCAGCCAGCTAGGACCAAGGGGTGGAGGTGGCGTGCAGAACTCAGATCCATCCCCTGGCGGACAGAGGGAGACAAGGCCCTCGCAGTCTCTCCCTAGCCCCCAGCCCTGCAGCCTGCCCTGGGGACACTTAAGAGTGGCATGGCGTCACAGCAGAGTGGCGTGGCCTGGGTCATCATGATCCGCACTCTTGAGGATTGCCGTCTGGTCTTCCGGAAGCTGACGGTGGCACAAGTCTGAGAGCCGGGCGAAGGGGTCGGGGCGAGAGTGCCTCTTCTTCTTTCGAAGGCAGACGGCTTCGTCGGGCCACAGAACCTGAGAGTTGGGACGCTGCTGAGCCTGAGAGGCAGAACCGTCTAAAGACAGGAAAGAGACACACAAAAGAAACAGGAAAGGCGGTGAAAAGGCTGAGTGCACACTCTGAGCTTCCAATGCAAAAACAAGAGACTGCCCGTGTGTGGAGGGCCACGATCAAACCTGCAGAGAACACGCCTCCGGGCTGCTGTGGCAACAGACAGTCAGCCCCAGGCCCTGCTCCGGCAGGTGAGGAAAGGAGGCTGAGGAGGGCCTGCTTTCTGTGAATTCACAGATCTCACTGATTAACCTGCAAGCATTTCCTCTGCGGTACCTCTTGCGGACTGGACATCATTCTAGGTGCCAAAAATGAGGGCTTCCAAGAATGGGTGGGGTCCCCACATTTTCCCACTCACCCCAAGCAACAGATTTTAATGACATACAACACAGCCAGGGCAGGACCCTGCCTGGCCTGAGAGGGCCACTCCTCTGTCTCAGGGTCCTTCAGAGGATGCTTTGGTTTTGGATATTTTAGCACACGAGCAAAAACGAAGATGCAAATTGTCAAAATGCAAGAGTTCAGATGTCAAAAATGCAACAGAGAAGGATAAAATAGGGTCAAGTGATAACCAAGGATTCTGCCCTCTGAAGGTTAATTCTTAAAGGATGTCTGGGACTCCAAGCCTTCTGCAGATCTGAAGGAAATGATTCCCAGCCGAAGGGGGAACCCTGAGTCAAGAGTAAACACAGCACATCCCAGAGGTGGTCACAGAGAGTCTGCAGAGACAGGCAGGGTGTTAGGCTCTGAAATCTGTTCTGGTGGCAAGAAGTGCCTGGAACGTTTCTGTCAGAAGTGCACGCAAGACTGTGTGTGTGTGTGTGTGTGTGTGTGTGTGTGTGTGTGTGTGTGTGTGTGTGTTTGCACATACGTATGTACATCCATATACACTCAATCACATTTTCTGAGGACACACTGACTGTGTGCAGAGTGTGCTGCAGGAGCAGAGGGGTAGAGACCCAGGGCCACCACCAGGGTCCACAGCCGCGCAGGCAGAAAGGAGGGAGTTCATGCTGCAGCTTTTGTAGTGAAGTCACCAAAAGGGGGCAAGGTTCAGAGCCAGCAGACTAAATGGATGAAGTGTGATCAAGAGAGTAGGAAGAAGAGCACAGGAGGAAGCCACCGGAGCAACCAGGCAGGAACCACTCACTGACCTGAAGAAGCCAGTCCGCGGTTGCACTGTGACATCACACAGGGTCACGGCACAACCGAGTGCACTCCCAACAGTCAACGCACACACGAACACAAGCTCAAAGAAGGTACCTGGCAGACATGAGAGCTACCGGACAGAACAGGCGCCAGGACCACTGCAGCTTATTGTGCAATAAGCGAAGGCCTTTTACTCATTATAAATTGAAGTCAGGCACCACATAATCACAGCATCTGTTGATGGTGGACCCACAGACAATGCCACATGGTGACATCCTGGCCCAGCTAGTTCGTGTGAACACACTTTGCGATAACAGAATCACCTAACAATACACCCTTCAGAATGCCCTCAGGGTCAGGAACATGTGACTACACACCGCTCACACACACATAAGGTAAATAGAGAGCTGGACAGACAGACAGACAGACAGGTAGAGAGATAGATAGAATACAACAGATAAATAGCTCTTGAAATGAGTTTAAGATGGTGGAAAGCTCAGCAATGGGCTCCAATTTCTCCCCTAAGCTTTAAAACATTCACTTTCTTTTCTCTGCCTCAGGATTTCCATTCCCAAACTGGTAAGAAACTAACACCACACACACGCTAAATCCCTGATCAGCCATCACCATTTCCCACCAATTCGGCAGGCTTCCCTCTGCATGATGCTTCTAGGGAAAGTTACTCTACAGCTGCTATCCAAGATCTGCAAAGAAATGGCTGAGTGATCGTCCTGGACACTGCACTACAATATTCCTAAAGCCATCAATGGAGAGCATTTGATAAATATCAAGGAATCTTCTGAAAGAGGACCGAGTTATTTTTACGTGGTACTTGGAAGCTACCAATCACTGCCAGACAATCATCAGACATTCGTGAGTGGAGCTCCCCTTTATGAGACAGGAAGACACTGCTTTATCTACCAAGAGAAGTCTGGACACTCCGCAGGGGGTGGTCCATGCCACCAGCACCCTAAGTTTCATCACTCCCATGTCAAACAGAAGGCTTGAGGTGATCCTAGGGAAACAGACAGATAAGGAGATTGAGACGTTTTCAAGGTGTGCTGTAGAATGGAGAAAAGATATACACTATTTACATCGTTTAAAAACACATCAAAACACAGCAGAAAAGGGTCTGTAGGCACCCAAGCCACGGAGCCACAGTTCCCTAGCTAGGGGCAGGACTGGATGGGGAGGCAATCGCATTTTCACCTTTCTTGCTTTCTACATGAAAATCACTTGTGATTACTTTAAAATGAATGGCTAAAAAGAGACCAAGAACAAGAAAAGTTGGTGGATGCAATTCTAGAAAACCCCAGGCTGGGAGCCTGGGCCCAGCAATCCTCATCCTTCAGGACAAAGCAAGGTGGAAAGAGGAGCGGCCACTTCCCACCATTTACCGGATCGTTTCTTTGACTTCGAGGAGCCCTTGGATGACTTTTTGGGCTTCTTTATCCGTTGGTATTTCAGAGCCTCCAGCCTCTCAGGTGCAGCAGCATTCCCGGGAGCAGGTGGGAGTATTCTGCAAGGGACAATTAGAGAGGTACAGGTCAGCTCCCGGATGGGGGAGCTTGGAAGAGGGACTGGAAGAAAGCCAAAGAGCTGGCCTGCAGAAGGATGGAGCCCAGAGGACGGAGTCCAAGGTGTCCACTCTGGTCCCTTGACACCTGCCTTGCTATTGCTCCTGGAAGGGAGAAAACCCAGAGAGCACCAGCAGTGGATGGCCTACCTCAGGTGGGACCCAAGCTGTAGAGCGATGAGAAGACCCTAGGAAAGGGAGAGACAGACTTTAATAATAAGCCCCACCACACCATTCAAGTGCAGTAAGTGTCAAAGAAGCAGGTTCAGTGTCTGCAGTTCCTAGACATCATCGCAATAAAGGCCTTCAACTGCAAAGTAAAAGGGTGGATTAAAGCAGAAAGCAAGCAACTCCAGCCCCACTTTACTGTCCTCCAGTCCCGGAAAGAGGAAGGGCCAAGTGGGAACCCCAATGCCAATGACCACATCAATGGAAAGTCCACAAACCCAGCTTCACTGGTTCTTCCCACTTGTCCCAAAAGATGCAGCTGGAACGTCTGCAGCTGCAGCAACAAGTTCTTGTCACAGGCCAACAGAGCAGAAGGGTTGCCTACTTGACCTCCTGCAGATGAGGCTCAGATATGCTGTGTCTTGTAAGATAACAGAAGAAGGAAGAAGATTATGACAGGTGTTTGCATCTACAGCCCTCACAAAGCCATTGCTGTTGGTCACAAGGACCCAGTGGACACTACATGTTAAGACTCCACAGAGAGGGGCTGGGGATTTAGCTCAGCGGCATAAGCGCCTGCCTTGCAAGCAGGCAGTCGTGAGTTCGATCCCTGGTACCAATAAAAAGGAAAAAGACAAAAAAAAAAAAAAAAAAAGACTCCACAGAGGTAAGGAGGCTGCTGGGAGAGAAGACTCCTGCATGCAGGTTCCCCTTCCTGCACCCCAGCTGAGGAACACAGGGCATCATTTGCACAGATGGATCAAATGCATGGTGAAGAAAGTCAACTATTTAACCACAGCCCTGCAGCCCATGTGTCACCGGGGATCAAAGCAAACTGAGAGGACAGCAATACGACAACTGTGCATTTTGGAGAGAACTTTTTTCAAGAGTCATGAAAGAAGAAAGCCTGGAAGAATGTTATCCGTATCATTTCTTCTCAAAGGAAGTCAGCTTCGAACCTGAGGAATAAAGGGGAAAGCAAAGGACAGGGTACTCTTTCCTCCCACCAGCAGGGTCTGGCACATGATGCGAGCAGCAGGGATGTTCTAGGGTGACAGCAGAGGGAGGCAACATGTTCTTCTCTTCTTCAGCACCCTCACCTCCCTCCCCCATCTCTGCCAATTATGTTTCGGTAAATCCTGATCAAAAGATGAACAGCCTATGAGGACCAAATAAGCCCCCTAAGGTCAGGGAGCAGCTGGAGTCATAAAAAATGAAAAGAGATGAAAAGACTGCAACCCTGTCTCCACCAAGTCAAATGTCTCTGCTAGCACCAAGAAGAGACTTACAGACACTCTGGTTACTGGCAATGGCCTCCACCTTCTTTGATGGCCATGTCTTCCAGTACATAAAGTATCAAGAAGCTCCCTCAAAGTTCAACTCAGGGATGTCTTCCTGACTCTGCACAGCCCCAACAATAGTGCTACACACTTCCACGAAGGCACACACACCTCACGGAGAGGTCCTCCAGCTCAACCACAGAAACCAGGTCCTTCCCCCAAGACCCAACAAGCCAATGGCACATTCCTTCCTCTTCTCCAAAGAAGCCTCCTGAAAGGAATTTGGAAGGCAAAGGGCAGAAAGGAGCCTGCCTTCCTGAGGGTTGGGTGAATGTCTGATCCCCTCTTGGCCATGACCAGAGCTTCTTCACGCTGCATAAAAGGAAGATGCAAGGCATGAGTCTACCTGTTCAGTTTCCCCACCTCCTGGTCCTGGCCGGCCTCAACAGAAACACTATACAAGCTAAGTGACAGACGGTCTGAGGGCACAGGACAGGCGAGGACAGAGGCCACCAACATAGCTCTGGATGATGCAGTTACAACACAGCCTCCATCATCTCCAACCAACAGCAGAGGCAGGCACATGAAGGCCCTTCCTGCTCCTTAATGCTTGAGTGTAACACCCACTTGCCCGGTGAGATGCTGGGGGAAGAGGCAGAGGAAGCTCACTCGTGTACTTGCAACGGTCAGGGAAAAGATGAACCCACCAGGAGTTTGCAAGCCAGTCCCTACCAGCCTACAACAGACAGCCACTCTCCAGCGGGGTCAGCACACAGCCAGAAGCTGTATAGGGCAGCCCTGCAGATACCTAGTCTGACTTCAAACAAGGTGGAACTTCCCAGAGAGAATTACTGCTATAACCAACATATGATTACTATTATCATTTTCACCAGGCTGGGCACCGTCCTAAGTTTACTATGATTGTCTCTAACCTCTACAACAGCGCACAGAGGTACATATAACATTGATCCCATTTTTATATGGAGAAACTGAAGTTTAGAAAGGTTAAGCAACTTATCCAACAGTCTGATTCTAGTATTCCACTAAACTGCTCTTCAATTTCCTTCCCACAGACACAGGTGCAGAAGCTATTATAGAACTGCACTGTTCCTATACTGCTCCCATACTGCTCTGGAGAACGAAAGCTGCCCTGCAAGGCACACAATGAAGGCTTGTGCCTCGGGGCAGCCAGGGTGAGTGAAGCATGCCAGACGGGCAGACCAGCTGAACTTAGGACTTTGAGCAAAAATTCGCAAACAATGATGATCCGTGGAGGACAAGAAGCCAGTTTTCCTTTGAGAATCAGCCAAACTCCACCGCTGCCCACCTAGTTCAGCTCCTGACTCAGCACTCAGTCAGACACTGCAACGGGACAGAAGGAGTTCCCAGGTGCAACAGGACACTCGCCAAATGCCAGTGGCAAAAATAAAAGCCAGTGTCTCGCAAGACAGGTGGAAGGAAGGGGCTAAGCAAAACAGGCCTATTTTTGTGGATCATACAGAAAAGATAACAGAAATATATTCCTTCAGACTTTATCAACAGCCCAGAAAGCTCACTGAGCCAAGCTACCTCTCTTTTTAGGAAGGACCATGTCCCTAAGTCCTGCAGGAGCCATTCTGGTTAGGAAGCTTTGGGTGCTGGTGTCCCAGCTAAGAAGCTGGGACGGAGCACCTCCTCCCGAACCCTAGAATAAAGCTGTGAAGTGTGCGGAATCGGACCTGTGGAAGGGCACTGTGGGTCTCCATCCTATCAGCCTACACTTGTCTGAACACGCAGGGACACTGCAAACCATGGGAAGTAAGTATTTCTACGGAAAGATGAAATCACCAAAGCCCTCCCATAAATCCCCGTTCTCTAATTATTAACACTGAATTGCTGGGGATCAACTTCACTCTCACTGGCTTGGGGCTCTGCCTCCCTAGGGAAGCTGAGGAAAGAGGCAGCCAGACACAAAGTGCAGGCAAACCTCCAGGCAGGGCAGATAAAACCTATCTGGGCACACCTTCCCGAGGCACCCTCAGAACTGACCCTCATGATAGTTCCTAGTCATCCTCCAGCCAACAGGCAGGGGCAGTGACACAGGCCATGCCCTTCTCTCCAGCACGGCCTGAGAGCAAACGCCATATGCCTGGAGCGACACCACGGACAGCAGGAGGCACGGGAGACCCACTCCCATGTGTGCTCTGGCCCTGGAAAAGGTGCCCCCATGCCCACGGGCAGCAGGTCAGCCCCACGCAGCCTCCCGCAGATGGTCTCTTTCGGTGTTCGGCCTCAGAACCCAGGAGAGGCTTGGTCCAAAGGGGAGTTCCCTCTTACGGCTCGCCTAGGAGGAGGGGGCCGCCGCCTGCTTCCAGAGCCAGGTGTCACTGATGTCATAGCAGATACTAAGGGAAAGGGCGCCAGATAGAGATGAGCAGGAAAGGGGGCATTGGAGGAGAGCTGGGCCACGGCTCAGCCCCCAGCCATCCACAGAAGGACAGGTCCACACAGCACAACTCCCCACACTGAGACGGGAGTCGAGAAGAGGAGAAAACAGGGGAAGAGGATACAGGAGCATGGGGGGAACTGACAGGTGCGGGCAGAAGGAACAGGAGACTCCAAGGGAAAGAAACAGCAAGAACAGATGTAGACAAGAGGCGGCACGACTTCTCCAAGCAGGACGGAGAGGAAACACATGCAAAGGCACGGTGTGAAGACAGCGTCTGCACAGGCGCCGCCGTCTCCCCATGGCCCCAGCAGCTTGCGCCCCAGGGAGGTCTCAGCAAGCAGGAGAGTGAGCAGAGCTCCCGCTGCCCAGCACATGAAGGTCTAACTCAGGGGTGGGAGGACTCCCTTCTCCTAGGCTGGGGATGTTGGCCAAGCCCGGGACAGGAACAACAGTCCCTCGTCGCTGCCCCTGGTTTCTGGGTTTGCCACAGCAGTGGTAGGGTAGCTGGGTTCTCTCAGATCTGGTGTGAGGGGCACTGGGGAATGAGGGGGTGTGGCAGGAAGGGGCAGAGGGCAAGTAACAGGTGGGAAGGGAGTTGAGGCACTTTCAAAAGCCAGGGTGAGAGCAAGTCTAAAACTATCGTGCCCCCGACGGCAACAGACACGGTCTACCTGGGGAGGCCAGGAAGGTACCGGCAGCTGCCACCCCTCTCTGGAGAAGGCTCAGGAGGCCTGGGCCAGGTGAGCTCATAAAGCTGCCACTGGCCCTTGGGCTCTCGCCAGTGCTTGTGGCTGCAGTGTGACACCGGACAGCCTCGTGTTCAGTTCTGGGGACTCATGGCTGCTGAGAGTTCTAAAAGGCAGCTATCTTTACATGGGGGCCCTGTTCAAAGTGACATTTACAGCCCTTAGTTAGGACAGTCAGCTTCCTGGGCAAGGTGAGGTGGGAGGGACACAGCTGCCAGCAGCCCACCGCACCCAAACAGAAGGCTCCCTTCTGCATCCAGACAGGGGCGAGCACAGAGACATCACTCTGGATTACTCTGAGCCTCTCTTTGAGAGCTCAGGGCCCCAATGGTGGCCACAGCTTTTTGGCCTCCTGAAAGGATGCAGAGCAAGTTGGCTATGCTGGGCTTTGGGGCATCGTGGTGACCAGGGTCTTTCCTTTCAGCTCCCTTCTGCCTGAGGGAAGCTTGCTCTCCCCTTGGGAAGCTCCTGCCGAAGACCCCTCAACAGTGTCACCCCAGGAGGACAGAAGAGCTACTGCAGGGACCTTGAAGGTAATCAGGACTGGAGGGTATGGTGACATACCTCACCCTATAGCAATCTGTTACGGGGTGCCAGGAGCGTAAGCAAGTGGTGACACTTGTCATCCTTCCCCCCACGAGACCAGAGCCTGTTTGACACTGAGAAAGGCCTCATGTTACAGAGACCCCTGACTCTTTAAGATGACCTGGAATCACTGAGCTCTCAAGCATGGGATGAGGACCCACAAGTCCGGGGAAGACCCAAGGTCTGGGGCAGGCGAGGAAGTGGAACCTGTGCCTGAGGCTGCTGGGTGGAGAGGGAGGGTCCTGAATGTCTTCGTGGCCCAGAGGGGTCCTGAAAGTGCAGAGGCAAAGCGGACTGAGGGCGTCCTTCGGGTGCATGCAGGGTCCTGGGCTACCAAGGGTAGCTCCAGGTGTTGGCAGCAGCATGGGAAGGGCCACAAGGGCTCTGGGAGGGGCTGGATGTGGGTTGGGAGGCTGAAAGCTGCAGCCAGGTGGTGCCAGGCTGGCCCAGTGGGCAGCTGGAGCAGCCGGAAAGCACAATGTGGGGAACCCAGAAGCCATGGGAATCGAGGAGCGGCAGCTATCCCCACGGGCAGTGAGGGGATGTGGTTGGATCCCCTGTCAAGGAAGCAATGGCCCTGCGGAAGCCCCGTCCGCCTGCCCGCCCCCACCCAGCCCAGCCGAGGAGCTCCCTTACCTATTGAGCTGAGGAGAGGCTTGTCTCGACAACACTGCCCAGATAGCTGAGATCAATCAGAAACAAAGCAGTTACCAACACAGCTGGGAGAACCACCCACACACACCCAGAGGGGGAGGGGCACAGTGAGCAGAGACCCACGGGTGAGCCGGAACAGGGCAAGGGAGGAGAGGAGAGAGACAGAGACCAGACGGCACAATGGCACACAGCAGGCGAGCGCGCTGCACGAAGCACAGACGGTGACTATGGCGCCCTGCAGACGGAGGCGGGTGCCTCGCGGAGCTCTTCTCTGCCCCCAGAGCGCCACCCCTGGTGGGTACTGAGGGGAGAGGCGACCTCACCCTTCCAGGTACCAGAGAGGCTGGAGAGGACAGGGCAGAGGACAGGCTGCCTCCTTCCAGCCACCCTGTCCCCTCCTGCCAGGCCAGCCTTCTCTGGAACTGCTCCCCTCCACAGAATGCTACATTCAGAAAAGACCAAAGTACAAACCAGAGAGGGCAATGGGAGAGAGTGGGAGGATGCAGGTGGGATCGGGCACTAGAGTGGTGGCCGGTTCTCCTGGACAAGACAGGTGCACCTGCACCCAAAGGCAATGGAGCAGGAGGCAGTGAGAGTTTAACTTCAGAAGGGAGGACAGGCAAGGGGGCGGAGGAGGGTAGGGAGACAGAAGAGGTGCAGACAGGCATCCAGGCCGCTCTGGTACCTGGAATGCTAGCTGCTACAGTTTAGCGTGAGCTCTCAAGTGGTGTGATCTCAGGGGCGTGTCTGTTTGTCTGTCTCTCTGCAGCTTCCTGTGAGGCACACAGGTATCTGGGGGGAAGTGGCCCTGGCACACAGGCCTGAGATTTGCCCCCATCCCATCCCATCCTGTACCATTCCTGGAGAGGCTGTGGGCAGGGACAAGGGGCCAGTGCCCACTCACTAGGGCAGCTGGGGGCAGGAGTCAGGGCCAGGGAGAGGAGGAGGCTGAACATGAGGTCTATGGGCAACTGCAAGGAGCCTGTGCCCAGCAGCAAGATGCCAGGGTACCACTGTGTCCCTTTCGGATTCACCTCAACCCCTCTCTTTCCCAAAATCCCTGGTAGACCGTGGCCTCCTTCAAGCTCAGGACTGGCTGGGGAAAATCCCTCCTGGCCCTGGCTACACACCTGAGCCTGCCCTGGCCCCATGACCGCACCCTGCCCAAGCAGCAGCCAGCACTCCTGCCGAAGGGTACCCTATACCCTGTCATGGGGTGACAGAAGGTGGCGGGCAGGGAGACCATGGGGAAGTAGTGGACCGGGGAGGTGGCCGGCGGTGACAGCTCACACTCACCCTGCAGTAGTTGACGGTGCTGGGGGCTCTGGTCTGAGCAGCTCTTCCCCCATCCTCCGGGGAGAAGGTGTCTGTCCAAACACATCCACGCTGTCCCCAGGCGCGGCAGGGGCCGGGCCTGGTGGAGGGGAGGGGTAGCCTGTGGCCAGAGTGGTGAAGCCCATGGCAGGCCGGTAGCTGGGGCTCCCGCTGCGGCTGCTCTGGGAAGGGGAGCCTGTGGACGGCGTGGACTTTCGAGAGAAGGTGACGGCAGCTGGCGGCTGCAGGGCAATCTCTGACATCTCTGCCTGTTGCAGAAGTCCCGGACGAGGCCGTGCGCGAGCAGGGAGCTCAGGAGAGCCGGTGCGGGAGCTGAGGGGGCTTTGGGTCAGAGGTGAGAGCCGAGAAGGCTGTAGCACCACTTGATGTAAACTGGGCTCGGCGCGCCGGGCCTGCCGGGGGCTGGGCCGGGGCCGGGGCTGGGGCTCATACCACCGAGTGTCCAGGCCAAATGTGCTGGGGCCGCTGTGCCCCCCCGGCTCAGCTGGCTCGGGGTAAGGCAACACAGGTATGCCCATACCTTGGCTGGTATGTCTCAGCTGCCCGTGGCTAGCCAAGGGCTGTACAGGTCTCTCCTGCCACTTGGCTGGGGGGGGCGCCGGGACGGGACCCCTACCAGGAGACTTGCCTACCCAACTCTTGGGTGCCTCCAAAGAAAGCATTCCTGGGTAAGCTGCAGGCACCTGGAGGGAGGTGGGCGGCAGTCCTCGGGGCAGGCAGGCCTGGGGCTGCAGACTCTCGGCCACATCCCGGGAGTGCAGCTGGTGGGGGGGGAACATCATGGTTGGGGCTTCCAGGCCCCCAAAGGGGAATTCTGGCCGGCCCCAGGGCTCAGGGGAGCGCCCTCCCGTAGGCGTCTGAGTCAAGGGCAGAGTACTGTTAGAGGCGTTTTCTCCGTTCTCCTCTGGGATGGTCGGGTGGCCGAAAGGCCCCTCGGCATGCAGTGGGGGGGATGACATGACAGAGCTCAGGGGGCTGCCCACTTCTGGCATGTAGAAGGGTGGTGGCTCCACCTCCCCAGGGCTGCTGCTGCTGAGGTACCCATAATACTGGCCGTGGTGGAAGGGCCTGGGTACCGGGGGTCTGGCCTGGCCCGTGGCCTGCAGCCGACTTCCCAGGCCACTGGGACCCTCAAGCCCACGAGGCTGGAAGCGAGGACTATATGCTGGTGGAGGCAGATAGGACTCCTGGCTGGAAGACAGAGGGGTCAGTTGAGGCTTCAGGGCAGCCACCGACGTGGGCACCAGAGGGTCATCGTTCTCTTCATCTGACTGCCGGAACTCTGGGTACATGTCTGTCTCCTCCGCAAAGGGAAAGCCCTCGATGCGCCGGGTCTTCACGGAGGGCTCCATCTCAGAGGGGTCCATCACAAAGCGGCCATCAGGGCCTCTGCTGATCAGCTCGATGGGGGTAGTGGCCTCGGCCTCAGCCTCGGCCTTGGCCACGCTGTACTTCTTGCTGCTGATGGCCCTCTTGGTCTTCTTGTACAGGGACAGCTCCTTCTCCCGGGTAGGGCTCAGCATCCTCTTGGCGGCGGGCTGGCCCTGGTCATCTGAAGACTCAGACGGGGCGCGGAGTGTGCGGATGCTCTCTGGACTCACCTTGCCAGAGGACAGGCTGCAGGCAGACAGCAGGGCAGTGAGGGGCACCGTGCTGCACCCACAGCTCTTCACCCCAGCAACGCTAATGCCAAGAAGGGCTAGGGGCTGTGTGAGGTGGGGGAAATGCTCCAGCCAGCCGTTTTCTCAGGACACATACAGCCTGCTTTTGGAACGAAGAACCACACGGCTCCTTTTCCGTAGCTTCCCCTCTGGTGTACTCTGTCTAAGCACCCCACCATCTAATATCTTAATACTGACTTCAAATATCTCAAGAAGGTGACTCTGCTGGTAATAAAAATTACAGAAAAACATCACCAGGCCACGGAGAAATGAAGGACCTGTGCATTTGGATCACCTACACCACCACACCCTGGAGCCATGTGCGCTGTTCAAAGCCCGGTTTACAGGGAATGACTTCGAAGCATGAAAATAAGGCCAGGTACAGCAGCCGCCCCACCCCCAGTGACAGCCTCCCCGACATCCCGGCTGCCAACCCCCGCCCAGCAGCCCAAGACACTTACGGAGACTCGAGGCTCTTCCTGCAGTGAGTGATGGACAGTGGAGGATCTGCAGGGAAAAGCAAGAGGGAGCCACTGAGGCCTGACCTGCTGGCATCCAAGGCAGCCCCAGAAACCACAGAACACGCGGAGCTTTGTGACCAGCTTAGAGGCCCGTGCTCACCCCATCCCCACCACCACTTCCTGCCCTCGGTCCAAACCACTCCCGCTGGCAGCTCCAGCTGTTGGATTTGTCTCCCTGCTTCCATCCCCAGGGAACCTGAACTACCATCAGTGATCCCTCCTCCTCAAAGGGAGCGCTGGACCATGGCCAAGCGAGGCAGGGGAGTCGAGCGCACCCACCTTTTTTTCGCTTGAGCTTGCGCTTGCGCTGCTTGTTGACAAAGCAGGCAGCCAGAGTGCTGAACAGGATGGCAGCTGCCAAGAAGCAGATGGTGGCGACGATCCCGGCCAACACAGGCCGGGCCAGCCCGTCGTCAGTCAGGTCCGGCTGCGGGAAGATGTCTGCAAGGAGGGTTGGGGTGCTGTGGGTCCCTTCCAGCCCCAGCACCCCCACCTGCTATTCACCCACAGGGCTGGGCTCAGCCTGTGCACTCAAGCCCCACCTGGGAGGAGGTCTGTGTGCCACAAAAGGAGGAGATGGGACAGTCTATGGAAGCCAATGCCCTCTGCAGGATGCGGGAAGAAAGGACGCCCAGGGCTCGTCCCCGTGGGGAGAGTCACTTGGTCATCTGTGGGATCTACCCAGTGCTCTCCATGTGTGGAGAGCTTGGTACCGGCTGCCAGCTCTGCTCATCAGCCCACAAGAGACAACACACAGGCTGCCTGACTCTGACACAAACGCTGGACCTGCTGAACGTGAGGGACTCGAACATGCTGCTGTCAGCACCTTCCCTGCAACCCAGCTGCCCCTGCTGTGCTCTGGGGTTTTCCTTCTTCCCCAGGTGCTCTGCACCACAAGAGCCCAGAGACGAAGGCATCTTGAGAGCAAAGCCGTAGAGGAAGGACAGGGCTTGCTACAAGAACCCAGAGCCATGTACTGTTCCACTGGTCACAGAGCAGTCATGCAGCTCTCTACAGCCAAGCTGGTGGTCCCGGGGTCTGCACTCTGGAAGTTGCTCAAGTGGCTGAGACAGTAGAGATGGGATCGGTGCTCCCATTTCACAGGTAAAGATTTGCATTTGTGCCCAAATTCAGAGCTCATGAACAGTGGAGCAAGGACTAGGCCCTGTCTGTCAGAACAAACTCAGAGCAGTTCAGTCAGAAAGTGCCATGTGCCTCAGATCCACAGGGGGAAAACTGTTGCACCGAGACACACTTGGCCAGTGTGCACTGCTGTGTCAGTAAGAGTAATGTACAAAAATAACCCAAATTGTGCTGATGAACTGAGAGGAAAATGAGCACTGTGGCCTCTGGAAATGCGAGCCTTTAACTGGGGAATGCTGACGCGGTCGCGTCCTGCTTGCCCATGAGGAGCCGTCTAACAAGGCACATTTCCTTCTGAAAGCAGAACTCAACCCTACTACTGGGCAATGCCCAGTTCCCGGAAGTGAGCCCCAAACGTTGCAGCCATCTGCTTTGTTCCTTGTTCTGCCACCTCTGCATGGATCCCCTTGCAGCAGTGAGCTGAATTCTGCCTGCAGAGGTAACTATGTTTTACCAAAAGAGCCCCAAGGTGCCTAATATGAGACAGAACTCACACTACCCCTACTCAAGCTCCCCAGAGCCTGCAGCGCCCCCTCCCCTACACTTCTGTAGCTACCGGCTTGCTGCAGGAGCTTTTTGGCCAAGGTCCTTGCCCCCCCCCCAAAGGACTCTGCACACGGTGCCCACAAACACGGTACCACTGCTGGCTTACTAGGCAAGAGCCGCTCCTACACCAAGGATACCACTTTGCTGGGGGAGGGACCTGGCTGTTTTGGGAACTGGAGCTGGAGAGAAAACATATAGAAATGGGACCAGTGCCAAGGGAAAGAACGATAAACGGAGAAAATGCTAGGGAGCAGGCTTTATTTAGCCTGAAAACATCTAGGCAAAGGAAGGAGAAGAGGATAACAACTCCAAACAACTATTTTCCAGTAAAACCCACATAATTATAACAAAGCCTACACCACGGGCATCCCATAAACACTGCCTGACCTGCTGTCTCCCTTCCTCCAGCCCACTGCCCCAACCCCATCAGAGAAAGCATGTGAGCAAACTGAGAAGGTACAGCATTGAGCGCTGTTTTGGTTTTTTTGTTTGTTTTTTTTTTTTTGTTTTTTTTTTTTTTTGGTACCGGGGCTTGAACTCACGACCTTGTGCTTACGAAGGAAGCACTTGAACCACTGAGCTAAATCCCTGGCCATCGGGTTCTGTTTGACTGCAATGAACAGGCTGGTGGAACTTTCTGCAGTGGCTGGCCTACAGCCCTATCCAAATCTAGTTCCTCAGTGGCACACAACACAAGTCACCGGGAGCACGCACCTCATAGGCTTCAGGAACGCTACAGCTTGTACAGCTTCCACTGCCACCTCCCTGGCTCCCACCCAACCCGTCAGCCCACCGAAGCTACGTCTGCGGCTTAGGCTCCTGTCCCTACAGTGTGAGGAACCTCCCTCCCAACGCACCTGTGCTGGAGACACCGGCGATGTTGCTGGGCTCACTGATCAGGTCCTGCATGACAGCCAGAACCCGGAACTCGTACCAGGTGTCCTACAGCCGTAGGGACAACAGCCGGTTAGCTGATGCACCCAGGATGACCACTAACCCTGCCATCCCTGATCCTACATGACACCTCCAGGGAATGGAACCCCAGAGCACCAGGGTCCTAGTAAGCATTCCTGGTCAGTGATGGGCAGCACTGGACATTGCTGTGGGGTAAAAGACCTCACTGATCTCAAGCTATGAATGTGGGGTCACTAGGGTCAGAAAAAAAGGTACACGGGGCTTCTGAAAGGGCTCTGTGGAGATCCCAGCTCACCCACCCCGATGCAGCAGCCAGGGAAGAGAGACAGTGAAGATCACTGGGACCTAGGAAAATCAGCTTACCCCACCGAGGCTGGGAGAAGGGCACGTTCAAAGGGGACCCATGAAAAGCAGATGCTGTATTCTCTGAAGACAATCTTTCTGGAGCCCCCTCCACCCGCCTCCCTAGGACCAAGCAAAGAGTGGGCCTGAGGACTCTGTCCGCCTCTCCTGCCACTCTGCCGAGTCGCTGTCTGTGCTCAGGATGACCTGCTGCCACCCAGCCAGCCCTGTTCTGGTGACCAAGGCAGCAGATCCAGGAGCACCCAGCAATGGAGGCCAGGAGGGAGCGTGTAGCACTCAACCCCATGCAGCCAGGCCAGGTCCCCTAAGCTTCCAGCCACTTCCAGAACTGGGAAACAGGCACAGAAAGCCAGGCTTCACCTGCGACAGATCCTTGGCAAAGAAATCTCCATCAGTGCCTGGAATGGCATCATCTAGCATCTCCCAGCGCTCCCCGACCCGGAACTCCATGATGTAGCGGTCGATGGGGAAGCTGTGGTTGGCAGGGGGGAGCCAGGACAGGAGCACACCCTGCTGGGTCCGGTTGGCTGTGAGGCACCTTGGTGAGGTAACCAGCACCAGAGGTTCTGGAGTTGTGATAGGGAATGCTGCGGAGAAGAGAGGCGGCGTCACCACGCAGGGGCAGCTGCAGCCTCCCAGTCCACAGTGTCACGAGGGAACCCCTCCTGGGCGTAAGATGGGTCCCAGGGAAGGTGGCTCACAGCACCCTGCCCCAACCTCCAGCAGAGGCCAAAAGCACAAGTGTGCGAACACCAGGCTCCCCTCCCCGAAGGAGGAACAGCATCGAGGAGAGAAGAGCCACGTGGCCTGCCCGTCTTGCGCCTCTGCAGCCTGTATGGAGCTGAGAAGCCCCAGGCCCCCCACAGCAGCTGTGTGCCACCCCAGAGCAGAGTGGGATGCCCTCCAATGGCACCCTGCTGCATAGGCGAGGCCCACACAGTTGTGTCCGGTATAGAGTACTCAACAAAAAATAATAAATGACTGTGACCAGTTCATTATCTACTATACAAGACTTTTTTTTTTTTTTTTTTTTTTTTTGTGGTACCAGGAATCGAACCCAGGGCCTCTTCTCTAAGCAACATTTTCAGGTCTTTTTTTGTTTATGAGACAAATTCTGGATAAGTCAATACACTGTCCAGGCAGGGCCTGGTGGAGATCCTCCTCCTATCTCAGCCTCCGAGAGTGCTGAGGTTACAGGGGCGATCCCGTATATGGAGTATACTTCTACTTACAAGAAAGTTTCCTGTAAAGCAGCGTGCCCTTCTCAGCCAGCACCAGCCCCCACACCCCATGCTTGACGGCACCATTTCTCACAGGCTGTTTCACCACGTTTGGTAAGTACATGGCTTAACATTCACACAGTGACAACGCTGCTGACTGGCGTCTCTCGGGGGCCCTCACCCCACACCCCTGCTGTTAAGCAGCACCTGCCTCTTCCCAGGAGCTAGAGAAATGTCAGCATACTGTTCACTTTAACTCCCTTTCTGGCCCGGCAACATGGCCCAGCAAAAGTGCTGCAGGATGAGGGTGCATGCCTGCCCCTCTGCCCGCCCTAGTGGCAGCACAGGAGGGATTTTTGAGACAGCCCGACCACCCAGACCCTTCTCAGGCCTCAGGGGAGGTGAAGCACAGTTACAGCCAGTAGTGCAGAAGGGTAACGTCCAGCCTGCCCTGAAGACCTATCCAATCTGCAATCTGGAGGCCTCATGAAGAAGGGTAAAGTGCAAAACCTCCTCCTGCCATCTGAGACCACAACAATAATTCAGCCAAAAGTACCAAGCAGCCAGGCGACCCTGCAGGAGGACATACCAAATCCTAAGTAGAATCCCAAAGCAACCATCACAGAGGGTACCAGGTCAGGCACCAGGCATTTCCTAAACCCCAAATGCCAGCTTGGGTTCATGGCTACCATCATCTTTGTGTGCCCCAGCTCTGAAGAAACCGTCCAACACACTCGCCCCAGGTGCTCACCTAAAGTATTCACAGTGACCACCTCACTGAAAGCGCTGGTGCCCAGCTTGTTCTGGGCCAGGACACTGAACTGGTATGTGGTCTCGGGCTCCAAGGTGTCCACTAGCAGCCAGCTGGGGCCCGGCGGCACTGACAAGGACAACCAGTCATGGGGCCCAAACTGTGCCCGCTTCATCCTGGCCAAAAGAGAGAGAGAGGATGGGGACAAAGGGGTGGGTGGGTCACACTGGAGAGAAGAGTGGCACACTGTCCTCAGGGAGAAGGGGTGAGAGGACCACACTCCCGGGGTCAAGGGCAGGAAGAGGTGATGGCAAGGGGGTGACCTGTCCAGCTCTGGCTGTGCCAGTCTTCATGACACGAGCCACCTTCACTGCCCCAGAAAGAGTCTGGGTGGAAACCATGCTGGTCTCTGGCCCCAGCACCAAGCGCACTGTGGGAGAATCCCACCCTGGGCAGCAAGCGACAATCGGGCTCTGCCTTGGAAGAGGAGGAATACTGGAGAGCGACAACGTGCACGTGAGGATGACAGGACCTGGGAAGGGCCTGGGTCGGGGGCTCAGCTGTCTACCTCAGAGTAACCAGGGAGCTCACATCACCGATTCAGACCTGGGTCATCTGAGGTTGTCCAAGGCATATGACAAAGGTGGACCCCACGGTGGGATCACAATGGCTAGGGCCTCAAAGGCTAGAAATCTCAGTAGATGGGACCTCAGACTGTGCATGGAGAGTACAGAAGGGGTGAAGGTTTTCCAAGGCTGTAGAGGGCTGCCAACTCCCAGGAGCCAGTGAAGCCACCTGCTGAAGTGCCAACATGCACCACTGGGGGGAGACATTGCCCTGGAACTCAGCACGTGCCCAGCGGTCCCTGCTAAGTATAAGCTGGCCACCTTGCAGGCCAGGAGGGGAGGCCCAGCAAAAGGAAGCTGGCACCAAACATCTGAGTCAGGACACAGCAGCTAGAGGCAGTCAGAGTGGAGGGAAGATGCCCTCCCTGCCCAGGGCCCCAGGGAGGCAGCACACAATGACAAAGCAAGGCAGAGGAGCGGCAGCACAGAACAGTGCTAAGCAGCGAGGGGGTCCACTCTGTGCCAGGCCTTCTGCTTGGTATCCCCAAAGGGGATCAGCTGGCCCAGCCCACCCCCCACCATCCTGCTGCAGAGGAGACACACAGGCAGAGACAAGAAGGGGGCTGTGACTGAATCCCGTGCAGAGCCCACGGCGCCCGGGACACGTAGCCCCCAGACCCCCCAGCAGAAACAAGGCAGGCACCCCTCCGCCTCCTGCTGCTGCTCCCTGAGCACCCCAAGCGGGCTCTGCCAAGTCAGGGTTCTCTCCTCCCTGCATTCAGACTGAGCCCACGGGCCTGGCCTGGGTCAGAGGAGGCGAGGTGGGGGCTCCCTTCCCATGTAGTCACCCGTGGGGCAGGGGGCCTGCAGGCCTGGACTCCTGGCTCCACACAGGAGCAGCAGAAGCCTTGGGGTGATGAGGAACCCCCGGCCTCTACCTCACTTTCCCTGGTCCTCTGCCTATCCTAAGGTGTGGGTAAAGCCCCCATGTGGCTGTGTCTGTCTAAATCAAATCAGGCACCTGAGAACAAGAGGGGAGACTCGGGGTCCGAGGCAGGGGCCAGAGGCAGCAGCTCTCCACGCCAGTCCCTTGGATGACTGGGGAGAAAGGAGGGGAGACCCCATGCATCCAGCTGGGCTATTACACAAAGCACTTAGGGTCACAGGACCAGAGAGACTCAGGAAAAGAATGAGCAGGACACTAATAATGGCAGGAGTCCCAGGATGAGTCAGAAGGAGTTGCAAGTGGTCAGGGTGGTACAGGCCATGGGTCAGACTGACTGTCCCGCCTTCAGGCTGGAACGCAGAGTCCCTTTAGCAACCCCAGCACCCACAAGGACCCAGTCTCTGTCTACCCCATCGGCCACCAGGCACAGACCACAACCTCCTGGGAACTCCCCCGCCCCCGGGCTGCCTGAGTCGGGCAGAGGGGAGAAGCAGAGAGCGAAGCATGCGGGGCTGACTCACAGAGGTCCGTACCAAACTGAGAAAGTCTGCTCGTAGCCTCCGTCATAGCCGGGTTCCCAGGACACGTTGGCAGTTGTCATGGAGACCTGGACCCGGACACTGCCTGGGGCATGGGGGCTGGTGCCTGGAGACCAAGGGAGAGCTCTCAGACCGCAAGGACGGGGCCCCTGGCCAGGAACCCTCACCTGGGTGCACAGACCCCAAGTGACCAAGGTATGGAGTGGCAGAGTGTAGCGCGATGGTGGGTAGGATGGGGAGGCCCCAGGGTGCGACCTGGTCTCAGTGCAGGGGTCATCCCAGGAATGACAGGCAGATGCGATGAGAGAGCTTCTCATCCCAGAACTAAGTACTGTGCACCTCCAGGGAGCACAGCAGCACTCTCCCCGAGGTCCCAGACAGAACCAAAGCTGTTGCCTCCTACAAAGGTCCCACCTTGGGACACGGACCCATTCTTCCACCCATAGGACACAGGTCACCTCAGGACTGAGCCCAAGTCCCAAAGGTGATGCTGCTCAGTCCACGTTTCTTCAGCCTCTGTCCTAACAAAAACCACCCACTGCTGCCTCCTTGACTGAGTGACAAGGAATGCAGACTACCCAGTCCACAGCCTCAAACCAACAGGGGTCACCTGGGATGCTGGCCCCGGGTGTGACCCTGGCTGTCAGAGGGACAGGTTTCGAATGGCCCTGAGGTCAGGTCCCGGAGACATATGCCTAGCAGTCAGACCCAGGAGCTCAGTACAGCCTGGAGGAGCCCTGTCACTTCCTCCTGCCCACCTCCTCAAGCCAGGATGTGCCCCAGGACGCCACTCCACCTCAGCCAGTGTGAGCCCAGGCTCCAGCCTCATCCCAGCCCCTCCCACCGCCCCACAGGCTCCACAGTTCAGGCCATGCAGTTCAGGCTCTGCAGCCTGCTGGCCTGTGGCCACCATGGACAGGACCCAGGCTGCCCAACCCTCACCCTGCCCATAGTGGGGCTGCTGACTCCATGCTTGGGGCCAGACTGACCCTGAATACCGCCCTACTACCTACCTATGACGGTGAGGTGGGTGCTGGCAGTGATGGTCGTGACCACATTGGTGGCAACACATTCCCACTCCCCATGATCCTCCTTGCTCAGGGCACGGAACTGGAGGCTCCCGCTGGGCAGGGCACTGTGCTTGCTTCTGCTGGGCTTCCCTACCTTGGCAGACCGGGGAGGAGAAGATGGGCCAGGCAGAAGTGAGGAGAGGGGGCACGCGGCTAATGGAGGGGGATGACACTGGGGCTGGCCCAGGCCCTGGGCCCTGTCCTCCATCCCCACCCCCTCTTCGTCTGCTGCCATAGGAAGTCGGTCCTCTGCTGGACAGCCACTGGGCAGAGCAGGTCTAGAGCTGACCCAACTGGCTCGCCCATCACCCAGCAGCTCTGGGGCCCAGGTACCTTTCTCCAGGTGATGACGGGGAAGGGGTCCCCTGCGGCTGCACAGGGGATGAGTAGCTCTCGGCCGGCCTCCTGCCTGTACTCCCAGCCTGGTAGCACCGTGAAATACGGGGGGTCCTGGGGAGCACAGGCACATGTGTGTAGCCAGGCACCCACATGTGCGCACAGAGGCCACACATGGTCCAGTGCCTCACCTTCAGGACGAGCCTCGCGGGAGCGGACTGGCCCATGGTCCCCAGGGTGTTGTAAGGCACACACGTGTACGTGCCAAGAGCCTCCTCAGTGGCCTCCTCGATCCGAATGGAGCCATCCTCCATCAAGGTCCATCCCAGGTTCTGTCAATCCAGACAACCAGGCAGGGAGCCATGGTCAGGGGATGGGCTCTCCGCCCTCCACCTGAGATGGAATTTGAGCCGAGCCAGCTGGACTACACATGCAGGAGATCGGGGCGGACACCACCCCATGCCCCAGGAGAGCAGCCAGGTTCCTGCTGGACTTTGGACCCTGTAGGATGCAGCTTGTTGTCTTCCCAGACCTGTGCTGCTGGGGGACAGAAGATCCAGCAGAGCACCGGGGTGGCTGGGAGCTTCTCGGACTGGACCCAGAGGGCTCTCTGGCCTGGGTACCATACCCACTTACCTTCTCCACCTGCAGGGGGCGGCCGTCCTTGTTCCACTTCACCACAGTTGCTGGCGGCTCTGCATCCACGGGGCAGCGTATGTAGCCGTGGATGCCCACAGGCACGTAGATCACGGGGGGCATGTTGAGGACACGGGCCGGGTCTGGAAGGGAGAGAGCAGGGGGTCATTCGAGAAGCCAGGTAAGCAATGCAGTAAACAAGCCCAGACCCATCCCAAGTGCCGCACCATCTCCAGACAGCTCTGCAGTGCTCCCAACACTGCCCAGGACCAGGGTTGCCACAAGTAACAAGACCAACATAGGCAGCAAATCAAGCTGTAGACTCACTGCTCGCACACTGTTAGACCTCTGGAGGAGTTCAAAGGCACACTCCTGCAGCCCCAGTCCATAGCACTGCAGCCCCAGTCCAAAGACTGCTGAGGTCCAGTTCCCTGAGCCTCAGTTCTTGCTACCCACCCACTCCCTGCCCATCCCTTGTCCTGAAGTCTGTCCTGGGAACTAACAGTTCAGCTCTCTAAGTCCCAAGCCTAAGCCAGTGCTACCCAGGATCCCGCTGCAGTAAGCCTTCATCTCCTCCACCCCTTCTACTGGATGTGTGGCCTCCCTGGCCTCAGTTTCCCCACTGGATCCTGGCCAGGGAACAGACGAAGCCTGCAGGATGGCAGCCCAGTGACACAGGCTGAGTCATTCCTCTCAGTTCTCCCCAGTCCCCCGAGGGCTACAGAGAAGGATCCAGAACCAGAGAAGCTGTGAGGATGAATGAAGCCGGTATCTTCTAAGCACTCTGAAATCTTCCGAGAACAGCATTACATAAATACCAGGCCGTGTTATATATTTAGACATAGCTTCCTACTTTTGTATGGTGGAGTTTTTTTTTTTTTCCCTCCGAGGTTTTCAAAGGCTTTATGAATGGGAAATACTCAGAACGCTGCTCTTTAGCAGAAATAAAGATCCCTGTCTCACCCACCTATAAATCTCAACCCCCTGGATTCTCTTTGAAGGCAGAAAGGAGGTAAAAAAGGACAAGTGGGAGTGACTGGTGGAGCCGGCGCCAAGAGAGACAGGGAAACCGAAACACCTCTCTGGCAGAAAGACAGCCTGGGTTTGGAGGATGGGACTCAGTCCTGGCCAGGGTCACCATCCTGAAGCTTACTGCCCCCCAGACACCCCGCACTCCTGTCCAGGGCATGGCCTGCAGGAGGCCTGTGAGGTGGCATCTGCTCCTCCTGACTCAGACCCTCCCCTCAGGCGAGCCTAGCCCACCCTCCGTCCCTTAACAACAACGCTCCATCTGCCTTTTTGACTGCACGGGTACAACCCGTGTTCTAGGCTTCACGGCTCTCAGGAGCTTAGACTCATACCAGGCCTGTGACAAGGCCTCTGAGTTGTGACAGAGGAGGTGGAGAGTAGGGCCTTTGCTTCTGCCAGCAGAGCCAGTTCACAGAGATGAGAAGTGAGGGGGCGAGGGTGCAGGGACCCAGCAGGCCCAGCCTGGCCCCCCGGCTCTGCCCACTTTGGGGAGATGCCCCCAGAACTCCACTAGGTACAGCCATCAGAATCGCTTTACACCCGGGCAGCCAACTGTTCCTCTGCTTGTCCTCAGCTCCCAGGCTGAGCCGGCCAGCAGGCCTCCAGACTGTTATAATTCTCACCCTTGCCACTCCGGTCCCCAACACAGGCCCTGCTAAGATGGAGCGTCTGTCAGTCTGTCACCCACAGCCTAATGCAGGCCTTTGTTGCTGAGTGACAGGACCATCGTTGAATCCAAAGGAAGACATTAATCCTCATTCCTCACCCTCCTCCCTCACTCGCTTGCTCGATCTCACAATGCTCAGCTTGCCAGAGGGTGGGAAAGTAACCAGCAGCACGCAAGTATTAAAGATTAGCAAAGTGAATTACTATGCTCACTCGGCAGCCTTGATCACCCTGTGTGAGCAGTAGCTCACGCCTATAGAGCTCAGCAGCCCAGAGAGGAGCAAAAGCCACCGCAGGAAGCTGGACACTGGACGAGGGAAGGGACTGTCACTCAGGACAGGCTCCCCACCCCTGCCCCACACTATCCAGGCCTAGAAGAGCAGAGCACAGCAGGCAGGGAAAATGGTCCAAGCAGGCTCTCAGTAGCCCCCAGACACTCTCCTTCAAGGCTCAGCAGGAGAGGCCAGCACTCCAGGCAAAGCCAGCCACTCCTTTCCAAAGGACAGCTGGCCAAGATGGGGGCTGCTTATCCTCGAATCTCAGTGTGTGAATCAGCCCACAGAAGAGGCCCAGTGAGCATCAGCCCAGCCTGTGACAGGCCTGGCCTGGCCTCTCCGCACCGTCCTGTTCCCTCCATCTCTTATCCCCCACCCATACTCCTATAAATGGTCCTTGGTCTCTGCCACCCTCCAGCCTCCAGTCCAGCTGATGTGGCTCGACCCTTCTCCAACACCCACACTCACACTGCACAGTCAAGTATGCCGAGGCTGAAGGGGAGCGCCCCAGGCTGTTGCTAGGGACGCAAGTGTACTTCCCAGCATCCTCTGGCTTCACCCGGAAGATGATCAGTGTCCCGTCAATCAGGATCCGCACCCTCAGCTTCAGGTCGCTGCAAAACCGCAAGGAGACAGAGGAAGGGGTGCTGGCAAATCACAGAGATGATCTATCTTGTCCTCTGAACACCAAGCCAGGCAGCAATGAGACATCCACACCTCCCGGGTGCACCAGACCCCTGGTGCCCCACATGCTCTAATCTAGCTCCACCCCAAGGTTCCAGAGCCTGGGGCCAACAGTGCAGCCCCCGCTCAGAGCCCTTGCCCTGGAAACCTGCAGTGGAAACGCCCAAGAGAGGCTGGGAAGGCTGCTGCTCACTTTTGGAAGTAGACGTTCTCGTCCTGCCAGTACCAAGTGTATGTGAGGTTGCCTGGATACGCCTCTGCCCGGCAGGTGAGCAGAGCATCCTGGGAGATGTTGACAGTGATGTTTTCAGGAGGGGAAACGATGAAAGGAGGCCCTGGAGAGAACAGGGAACAAATATCACCTCTGCCACGGCAGAGAGCGGCTGCCCAGGCTTCCAGGGAGCTCAGAAGTTCTCGGAACAGGCACTGCAGGCAGCACAACCTGGAGCTGCTATGCGCTTGGGTACCTGCCACGCCTGCCGGGCCCCAGCCAGCATCCAGCCCGCCCCACCTACACTCCCATCCTGCCCACCCCTGCCGCAGCAAAGCTTGAGCAGGACACACACTGGGGGAGGAAACAGCCTGGTTCTAGAAAAGACAGAGGTTTGGAGGGCAGAATGAGGAGGGTGAAATTGCAGCAGTCCCTGGCACAGCTGGCCAGACTCCACTGAGCTGCAGACAGACCTCTGGCCCTGGCTGCCACTCAGTCCTAGCAGGTGTGGACACCAGCACAGCTGCCCCCAGCCCTCTCCCAGTAGGCAGTGTGGGGAGGCAGAGCCCCTCCGGGGGACCTCATCTGCCTGGTTCAGTGAGTGCCCAGCCCCATGCCCTGGCATCTTGCGGTGCTGACTGTGCAGACCCCAGCTTTGCCAAGTGCCCTTGCTGTTGTTTAAATGCCTGGGGCTTGGATTGCCTCCCCATCTTTATTTATTGATGCCATCACTAATGGACTGACGACTCAAGGAAGGCCACCTCCCTGGGGAGATGGAGGCACAGTGAGGATGCTACCTAAACAGAGGCAACCAGAAACCCACACAGCCCAGGGCTCCCTGGCATGCTGCAATGCATTTTCGCAGGAGAGCCAGGCTTGGAGATCTGGTCTTGAGGTACTCAGGTCCCCATAGCCCCTGCCCCACTCCTCCTGTTCTGCTTGTCTCCATCAGCTGCCAGAAGGCCCCTGCAAGAGGGCAGGGTGGACAGAGACTGAAGAAATCCCCTACCTTGGACAAGCAGGTGGGTGGTATGGACAGCCTCCCCCTGGATACTGTATGCCCGACAGGTGTAGGCACCTCTGTCCTCTCGACTGACGGACGTCACCGTCAGGCTGCCATCACTCACCTGGGAGCCAAGGACAGACAACTCAGCACCCACTAATGTGACCACTGGGCAAAGATGCTGTCAGAGTAACCAGGCTAGCTAGGCTGAGGGACATGTGCTCTTGGGATACAGAGGGCAGGTGACAGGGAGGACACCTGCAGCTGGCAATGAGAGGGGAGCTGCAAGGAGGGCAAGATGAGTGGTGCTCACCTGGTACTTCCCACTAGCACTGAGGAGCATCCCCTCCTTGAGCCAGGTGACGATAGGCTTGGGGTTCCCAAAAGCTGTGCAGGTCATGGTAATACTGCCCCCCTCCTTGGCCTCGATGTACTGGGGGGGTGTTTCTGTAAAGGTGGGAGGGGCTGCAAGAGAGACCACAAAGATGAGGGATGGGACCACGCACGTACATTTGCCTGTGCACAACTCTCATTGCAACCTGCAGGATGTGAGGACAACCGAGATGCCAAGGGGGAGGCGGGTGAGGGGGCGGCCTGGGGTCCAGTCTCCGTTCTGCTGGGCCAAATGTTTATGGAGCATCTACCATGAAGAAGCTGTTGTGCTCAGCATGAAGGTTGCTAGATGAACAGGAAAGGGCCGCCACAATCTCCCACCACCCTTCAGTCCCCTGACAGGGTAATCATGATGCACAGGGACCCCACTTCAGCTCAGCCAGGCCCCCACATTTCCACGGCACTGGCCACAGGAGCCCTGTCTAGGCTGGACCCAGACCCCACCCCAGTTGCAGTCTGGTTTTGCACAAAGAGGAAAGCAATCCCCCTACCTCCCTTCTAGCTCCTGTGGATAATGAAGGTGGAAAGCTCCCTCCTCAGGAACCCTCTGACCACACAAGTCATCTTCCCTCTGCACTGGAGCTGTGGTTAAAATTCCCCCGTTTGGATAAATGGCTCCAAGAGAGCCCCATTCCCTTGAGCTGCTCCTCTGAACCCTCAGAGCACGGGTGCTGCAGTTCGAGTGGAGCAAGGTGGGCCCATTCTGAACATGGCCCCAAGACCCACAGCACTGGCCTGGGAGCCCATCTGGAGTTCCTCAGGACTCTCAAAGTTTGGCATCCAAGCTCAAGAGCTGTATGCAGGCAGGCCATGTTGGTACACACACCTGTAATCTCATCTCAGCAGCTAAGACAGGAGGATTGCTGCAAGTTTGAGGCCAGCTGGAACTACACAGGGTTCAACGCCAGCCTGAATTACAGAGCAAGACCTTGTTTTAAAAAACAAATAAATAAAAGAGCTAGCTGGGTAACCTTGGGAATCCTTCGCCCTGTAGAACTGAAATACGGAATACATGGGATGACACCTGTGGAAAAGATCTTGCTCAGTGCAGGCACATGTTTAAAACAAATACTGGTTTTCCTGCCACCATTCTGGTGGCTGTCACCCTCCTCCAAGCCACTGAGGTGCTAGAAGTTTCAGGAGGGCTCCCTCCCCTCCACCAGGCCCTCCAGAAGACTGAGTCCTAGGGCTCAGGGCTGGGTCCTTCCCCATTCCCCCCCTTTCCCAACACACTTCCACTCACCGTACTTTAATCATCCCGGCCTTCTTTGTCTTTCAGCAACACAGCAAGAGCTTCCGACTTCAGGGCCTTTGCATGTACGGTTCTCTTGCCTACAATTCTGTGTCCAGATCTCACTGCCTAAGCTCAGTGTGTCAGCCACCTGCCACCCCTGCTTACCTGGCCAGCTCATCTGATCTGACACTTTGCCCTGTTTCATTTCCTCTAAAGTACTTTTTGCCAGGCATGGTGGCATATGCTTATATTCCCCCCACTCAAGAGGCTGAGGCAGGAGGACTATGGTAAGCTTGAGGCCAGCCTGGGCTATATAAACAAGTTCAAGGCCAGCATGGACTACACAGCGAGACCCTGTTGCAAAAAAATACACACAAAAGAAAAACAAAACCAAACAAGCACTTCTCACTAACTGAAGCCACGTCATTTGCTTCTAATCTGCCCCCATCCGTGGTGGCAACAATTCCCTGATCCTGTAGCACTTGACAGAGTGCTGAGTGCCCATTTGTAGAATGAATGAAACTAACTGGGCACACAATACATGCTACAGACCACTGCAGTGCAAATACACAGAGCATCCTGAGAGCAAGACACTGGAGAGACCCTTCGGCCTGCTGCCTCCAAAGCTCCTGGCCCAGTACAGGCACACAGCCTGCAGAGAGGCACACTTCACCACACACACAAATGTGTGCACACACACCCACAAAAGCCCAACTCTTCGCCAGTGTCTACGAATACGCTAAGCAGGACAGTGAGCCTTCCCAAGCCCTTGCAAAGGGAGCCTCGAACCCAGATCCTGGGCCAGCACACTCACCACCTGCAGAGGCCTCCCTGTCCGCCTGCTCCTGAAACGCACTGAACACAGTCTCGGCCTCCACTGCCTATGGTATTGAACTTAAAAGAAAAGATAATAAATTAAATTATGTCCTGGAGTGACAAATTAATTACTAATTACATAATTACTTTATTATTTAGGTGCTAATCAGGAAAGTACTTTGAACAATTTCAAGTTTTCAGGAAAATAATGGTTTGACTCTCGATTATTTACTGAATTAGGTGTTAGCTTGCCAGCTGCATTTCCAGGCTTAATTCCTCCTGCAAGTGCCCTATAATTAATAGTGCAGGTTAGAAACAGGCTGGCCCCTCCTCCAAGTAATTCACCAGCCTAACGGAAGCCTTGGCTTGGGCTTCCTGCTCATTTTATAAGTGATAAAGAAATAATTGGGTTTGTTTCCACCCAACTGGTCTTCAAAGAAAACACAGAAGGAAATGAAACCATTTGTAATTTTAATTTCTCACTGGCCTTTCAATTTCCAAAGGTGATCCCTGTCAGAAAATGCCTGACATTAGACATTCTCGTTTAGAAGCAAGGAGATGCTAGAAATATTTGTGCTGATGAAACTGCAGAACTCAGAAGGAGACAGAACTTCACTCATGAAGGAAGGTATCTACTCCCTTCTACATACTGCAGGGCAAATTCCTTGGTCGTGTGAACTTCGCTCTACTATACGTAGTCTGCGCCATGCCTGGCTCTCAAGCACGGGTGGATGGTGCAGCATTTTAGCACCTTGTGCCCAACACTTCCTTATCCTTGCCCGTGCTCCCCGAAGGAGCCATGTGCCTCCCTCAGGGCTCTGGGACATGCTGTGCCCTCTTTCACATCTCCACCTCCCACCAGCTCCTGGCTAAACTCCCCCTGACCAGGGCTCTGAACAGGACACTTTTAAAGGAAGCTGTTCCTTGTGTTCTCAACTCCACCGGCAATCATCTCTGGACTTGACTGTTTCTACATGTCTCTTAAAAACCCCTACCACATCCCCAGAGGCTACCACAGAGAAGACACTCTAATAAGAACATGTCTTACATGGGTAGTCACTGCTAAATTCACAAACACTTTTCCACTACCAAAGTTCTCTTTGTCCTCCAGCCTGATCTGATGTCTTTGCTGAGGACATCTTCATCTGGCTTTATCCTTTTTCTTTCTTGAGGAGACAGCCAGCATCTTACCCATAATTACACACAGGTAATTAATGCTCCAGACAGTGTGCAAGGCACATGCCATGGGTTTCTACCAAATCCTCCCAACAATCCTGCAGAAGTCAGTTTTTTTAACTGAGGAAACCAAAGCTCAGAGAAATATCTTGACCTGCCCAGGACTACAAAGCTAATACGGAATAAGTTCCTGAAATAAACCAAATCTTGTTCACACTGATTCCATTCTGAGCAATTAGGAATTTCCAAAGAACCAACTCCCACTCCTGCTAAGACAAGCATTCAATGAAGCACACAACCCCAAACCAAACTCTATCTTCTGGTCATGTGAGTAATGCAATGCGTGGTATCTGCACACTGTCATAGGTACTACCAACCAACCAGGACGATGTGAAAGAAAGAGGCGGCTCTTCGGGTGGCTCTGCTCCATTTAGGAAAGGAAGGGCACGAGGCAGAAAGAAAGGCACGTCAGGACGCTTGGCTTGGTGTTCAATCCACAAAGCTTGGAGTAGCAGATTTACCTTCCTAATTATATTTTGCTTGGACCAATATTAAGAGGAGTTTTCATTCCATGTACATACAACAGCTGGCATCAAAGAGAGGTGACTCAAAGCTGGCTGGATATGAAGGACAAAGTGATCAAGATTTAAAATTGCCTGCAGTCAGGCTCTGGGGACTGACTGACAGGAGCCATTTCCATCTAAGGCCTGAACCAACGCCATCTTTTAAGTCTCCTGCCCTACAGATGAGTCCCCTTGCTAAAATACTCAGCTCCAGGTCTGAGGAGTGGCCCAGAGCCTGGCTAGAATCCACAAGGCCCTGGTTTGACCCCTAGGCATGGCAAAAAATAAAACGTAAAACTACATTTAATGTAAAAATACTTTGTTCTTCCAAGATCCTAGACAAGTTCTCAGACCCAGAAGGAGCACAGGTCTGACAATCCTACTATCAGTCAGTAAGAGGAAGGAGCTGTGCTCCAGAGCAGATTAATTTCAAGAGAAGCTTCTGTGCCAGGAAAGACATCAATTTCTCTCTTCTAACCGCAGCATTCATGGCCTCATACACCAAAACATAAGCACCACACTGCATGTGGCAGACGCAGATGCCATCAAAGCCTCCAAGACTAACACGGCAACAGGGCGATGCTCCATATACAAAGACGAAGCGTCAGGCCAAAAGCACAAAGGAACACCAAAGCAAAAGACCCATCCACTCCCTCTGAGCGCAGCCTCCACCCTTCCTCTGCACTCTCAGCTCCTGGCCCTCCAGCACATCCCTGCCAGGCAGGCACTCTCCCTCTGGGAGACCCTGAAGACCCCCAGCTTCCCGCCTCTGAACCCCAGTGGATCCAGCCCACAGCCTAGGCCAACCCAAGGACTGGGCAAGCCCAGCCCAGCTTGCTTATCCCACAAATACCTGAAAAGCATCTGTACACAGCAGGTTCCACTCAACCCGAAACATAAGTAACAGGCACTAAAGCCACTCCTACATTTCATGAGCTGGTAAAGCCCACCTGAGCGGGGCCATGGTGTTTACTGCCCATCTGGTACAGGGCTGGGCACATAACAGGCCCTCAGTACTCATTTACCAAGGAACCACAACATCCACCTAAGAAGAGGAGCTTCTGAAATCTTCCTGGAAGGAGGGCTCTTTTCAGATGGACAGGTCACCCCAGGCCAGCAGGGACATTAGCAATGACCGGTTTGGCCCCCATGCAGCCTTAACCTGAATTATAGGTGTTATAGAAGCAGAGCCTGAGTCCCCCACGTCTATACTGCCTGGCAACCAGGGACCGCTGTTCCCACGAACCCCAGGGACCCAGGGGTTTCAGGAAAAGCAGTGGTGGAGGGAGAGGGACAGGCACGAATTGAGATCTCACAAGGTTCACTTGCAGCAGCAAGACTGGGGAACAGCCCCACAGGTGGTCAGGAGAGGGCCTTCCTGCAGGGCAGCCCCCGCCCACCCAGAAGAGGCCCATACGCACCGTTGATGGTGAGGTGCACCCAGCTGCCATTGTGGAAGGTGTCATACTGCTGGTCCAGCATGAGCACTTTGCACTCATACCAGCCCTGGTCCTCAGAGCGCACCTGCTCCAGCCGCAGGGAGGCTTTATCATGGAGACTGGCCCGGCCTGAGGAAAAGAGCGCGCAGAAGCCGGAGAAGCCATCAAAGCCAAGTTGGCAGCTCCTTCCCACCTCCCACCCCAGCCAAAGGTGGGGACACCTTGTGACCTTCAAACCCTGAGATGACAAGCAGCAGGTGGCAAAGGGCAAGGCAGGATACCTCACTAAGGAGCCCTGTCCCCTCCCAGGTTGCCCTGCCCAGCCAGGGAGCTGCTCAGTGTTCGGCACTGAGAAAAGCCTTGGCCTGCTGGAATGTACCTATTCTTTTGGAGATCTCTTGGGACAAATAAATGGAAAGCACAATGCATGAAGGCTACAGGGCTGAGAGAGGAGAGAGAATCGGGGAAAGTTGGAGACAGAAGAGGATCCTCTTGGATCGACCATAGGCCCCACAAAGGTCCAGACAACATCCTTGCCCCAGCTGGGTGCCTAGGAGGGCCTTGCCCAGCGCCCTCCCTGCCTGCCTTCTCACATAGTGTGATGCTCACAGTTCTGCTGCCTGATACAAATCTCGACAAAGCCCAGCCACTCCAGGATCTGAAGGGAATGGGCCCGTAACCCCAAGGGCCAGGGATGGGGTGACAGGCAGAGCAAAACGCCAAGCCATCCATCGTTAGCTCCATGAGGAGGCCCCTCTGCCCCTGAGGGTAGGAAGAAGTGAACCCCTCCCTCAGGGTTAGCTCCTGCCTCACCCCCATCACAGGTCAAGAGCCACCATTGGAACTGGCAGTCTGCCTAGTGCCCAGGCCATCAAAGCAACCCTGGCCAGAAGGAGCGTGAGAAACACAGGCTCCAGTGAGAGAGGCCAACAAACACCAGGATAGAAAGGAAATTCAGGAGAAATGAGTGGATGCAGGGCCTTGCGTGTCTCCCCCTTCCTGTGGACCTCAGCACACACCCTAGGTGGGCAAGACTGCAGTAGTGAATCACAGGGGGCCAGTGTCGCTGCAGGGCAGACACAAGCAAGCCTGGAGATCCACAGCAGGGGAAGGGGAGGCTGGGCACAAACCACACCCAGATCAGGAGGACAGCCAGCTTCAGAACCCAGCGATGGAGTGGGCAGGGGCAGGTGGCAGATCCTGGAGCCCCAGCTGTGTGGCATCTGGCAGAGGGTGGGGCCAGGACTTCCCCATTTCCTGGATAGGGGTCCCTGTGCCCTCCTCACAGAGCCCCTGTCTAGCATATCCTGCAGTCCTGGCCCCTCTCCCATCCCTTGCTGTGCCTCTCTGCCCGTGCCCTCTCCTCCTGTTCCCTCGCTTCCGCCACTCAGTGAAAATGCACCAGAGTTCAAAGACAGGAGGAGCAGGCAGGAATGAAAGGAAAACAGACAACAGACCCAGAGGAAAAAGCACTGGGGGAGCCAGCCACCTCCCCTGCCCCACCCCCTCAGCCTGCCACCATGCTAAAAAGAGCACTGCACACAGGCAGGGGCACTGGGGACCTCAGTGTGACCACCAAGGCCCGCGCAAAGGGCGGCAGAGGGAGACAGCCCTTGCACCCTCATTTTACCTGCATACTCAGGGTCCACATGGGGCGGGTAGTAGCCAAATTTGATGAAGATAGGGATGGGGACCCCAAACTTGAACCACTCTACCACGTAGGGTGGGGGCTGTCCCGTCACAGGGTGGATCACGTCGCATCGCAGGACCACGCCCTCGCCAGCTCGAGCAGTCACAAACTCAGGTTCCTCTCGCAGGCCGTGGGCACCTATGGGGACAGCCAAATCAGCACATGGGAGGGTGACAGAGCCCTTGCCCCAACAGCCTCATGTGCTCCTCACCCCTGCCTCTCCAGCCCCCTGGTGTCCTGCTCCATCCCTCACTCACATTCCTTCTATGTTGGGAACCCCACAAATGCGGAGTGGGGAGAAAGCCAAAACATCCCTCTCTTGCCCCAAAAGGTAGCAGGCATAACCGTTACTCCTGCCTCACTGGCCACTCCCCCATAGTTTTAAAGAGCTGGGGACACGGAGGTGGAGGCACGGTGTGCAACCTTCTTCAGAAGCAAGAGGATCCCACAGAGCCGGAGCCTCCGCCCCGCCCCTCAGCCTGGGGCTCCAGCACTGCACAAGCGCACTGCACACAGGAGCAGGGAATCCCTAACAAGCTAAGCCAGGCTGCTCTGGCAACACCAGAGGGAAACCCCACCGGCCAGCCTGAGCTGGCCTCTGCAGCCCCTCCTCCCAGCACTGCGCCAGCCCTGCTGCAGAGGGGAGGGGAGAGCTGCAGCCCTCAGCTGCTGAGCCCCAGATCTACCAGATTCCCCAAGATGCAGCAGACATCCCCATCAGGACAGCAGATGCTGGGGTGAGGAGGGAGACCCTGGGGCAGGCCCTACGAAGCTTGGGTAGAGGACATCCGAAGATGATGGCCCAGATGGAGTCACCCATCCTGGCTCCAGAGGAGGCCCTGCCCCCATCCAAGGTGCAAGCAAGAAAGAGCCGCAAGGCTGACCCATGAGGGTGCTGCCCTCACAGCACAGGTCTGCCCTGAACCCAAAGCAGGATGTAGGCCCCTTCCATCAATCCTCAACCCAGCCCAGGCCTTGGGACCAGCAGGGCGAGGGAGACTCAAGGTCACCTTGTCAGACAGCAAGGGATGGAAACAGCCCAGCTGGGGGCAGCCTCAGCCCTGCCTCCTCTGGCCCCACCACTCCCACACAGCCACAGGCTCTCCTCACCACATTTCACCCCTCTCTTCCGTCCCAGCTGGGCACCCAACACCCAGGCAGCACCTGGGACTGCACGGTGCTGCAGGAGAGCTCAGACAGGGCCTGCTCATCACCTCTGACCCACAGTGCTCCGGTTCTGTCTGCCCTTCACGTTTGTGTCTGGCTGCATGAGCATCCTCCTCTGGGTTTGTCTGTTTCCTTTTGCCTCTGTATCTCTCTGTATCTCTCACTTTCTCTTTCTGGCTCCTTCATCTCTGTCTCATATGTCTGTCTCATGCTCTTCTCTGGCGCTCTTTCTGTCTGTCTTCTCCCCCACCCCCCAGCATCTCTTTCATTTGCTCCCAACACATGAATAAGTCTGTCTACCTGCCTGCCTGTCTCCCTGTTTCTGGTTCTACCAGCTATGCGCCATTGTGGGGGGGGGGGGGCAGGGGCCCGTGGCTATGGCTGTGTGTCAGGCTGCTTTTCTGTGTGAGGGGCCCTGTCTCTGCTGCAAGTCTGTGAATTCCAGGTCTGTCTGTCTATCATCTGTGTGTCTCTGCGTCTGGTTCCCCCCAACCTCTGCAACTTGCGGAAGGAGGAGGAGGAGGAGGCAAGCCCTTCCAGAAGCCGATTGGCTCCTGGTGACATCACTGTGTTCTAGAGAAAGAGCTAAGATCACAGAGTATTTTGGAGCAGAGCAGAGTGTTGCGCTCACCTATCTGCCCAGGGCCCCAGCAGATTTCCAGGCTCCCCACCCCCAGCCTGTCTTCAGGCTCCCTTGGTAATGCAGCCCCTCAGGGAAAGGAGGAGAGGGCCCAGCTGCAGCAGGCACCTCCCCAAACCAGGGCACCTGGGAAGCACGTGGCTGCAGCTGCATCCAGGAACACAAAGGCCAATGCTGGAATGGAGGGGGTGGACAGTGACCACCACAGCAAGCAGAAGCAGTACATGTGCACACACATGTGAGCATGTGTGCACAGCTGTGTGAGTACATACAGGTGTGTGTGTGACACATACAACAATAGTATCTGCAGCACAGACTGAGGGGATAAGAAAAACTACAGGCACCTGGGATGCAAAGGGGGTCACTCCCAGGCGCCAGGGGTCCTGGGGAAAGGTAGAGCGGGCCACACAGCTCTGTGGCTCTGGAGCCTGGGAGCCCTCAGGAACCCCTAATAGCAACCTGGCTCCACAGAGCAGGCTGTTGGGATGGAGGGTACTGGGGGCAATGTCAGGATGTCGGCAGCCTCTGCATGGGTTCCCACAGAGCCAGCTACTCATTTGCACCCTATGCCACCTCGTTCTCACTGCATGGCAATGAGGCAGCGCCTTCACACCTTCCTTCCCAAGCAAGGGGAGGACACTAGGCCCCGCCTCCTCCAGACCCTGTCTCCTCCAGTCCAGCCAGCCCCAGGGCTGAGCAGGGAAACTCGAATGTGAAGCCCACCCCAAGGCAGCAGGCACCCACTCACCCAGCAGCTCTTCTCAAGGACACTGCCCACTCCAGAGAAGAGTCACAGAGGACACTCCCAGAGAAGGCACAGAATGGACAAGACAGCTTCTGTGAAAGGAGGCAGTGGGATAGCCAGGGCCCAGCCTCCACACTTTGTCTTCTGGATTCTTAAATATTCACCCATTTTTCCTCACCCCCCCCACATGCACCCACACATACGTACACACGCATGCACATGCATGCACACACACATGCACACACCACACAGCATGCATGCTCACTCCATCACCCACAAGCACTTCTCCAAAGCCTGATCCTTTCTGAGCCAAGTATGCCTAATACAACACTCTTCATAAAAGCTCAGGGTAAGGAAAAGGGACAAAGTAATCAGGCTGGCAGTAAAGGGGAGGAAGGGCTTGGCAAAGAGAAACAAACTCAAATTCAGGGGTAACCAAACCCAAACCCAGGTAGGAAAGGCTCAGAAGTGGAAGAGGCACAGATGGGCCTCCTGCAAGCCAGACACATGCTCAACAAAGCCAGGCACAGCTCCACACACTGGGTGGCGGGAAACAGACCCTTAGCACAGGGAAAACGGGAGAAGGGTTGGGGAAGGGACTGCAGGGGTGCTTAGATCCCTTCCCTTCCCAGCAGCCCAGAGGGCTACTGGCCTTGGCAATGGGTGGTGGTGGGCAGAGGTACTGCATAGAAGGAGGAGGCTATAGGTGCAGCCCCTTTTTGAGACAGAAACTGCACACAGAGCCCTGCTAATCTGCACCTTGGGTGTCTCCCCTCCCCACCCTGGAGCTAAACCACCTGGCAGAGAGGAGAAAGCTAAAAGGCAGGAGAGTATGGTCACCCCCTGTGGGCTGGCTGACCTTTCGGGAAGCCCCACAGAGCACAAGTCTCCATTCTCCAGGCCAGGTGATACCCAGCGGGTATCTAAGGCTACAGCTGCCAGCAGATCTGTGGGCCCAGAACCACAAGGCCATCCAAGGCCTGGCACAGCCCCACACCCAACACTCACAACCTGGAGCTACTCTGTCTGAGAAAGGCTGGAGGAGCACGGGTCCTGAAAAGGGACAAGGGTCAAAGCCAGAGGGAGGCAAGCAGGCAAAGAACACCTGGGCTGGTGGGCAAGCTAAACACACTGCAAAGCCACTACTCCACACCAGGTTCTGTGCTGAAAATGCCATGAATCTCACTGCATCCGTACAGACAGCCCCAGCACCAGGAGACATGTCTCCATGGGAGGTTACGTGGCTTCCCCAAAGTAACCCAGGTAACAGGCACCAGGAACAGGATTCCCACTCTATCCCACCCACCTGGCCAACTGCAGGCCAGGGGACAAAAGTTTCTCTCCCCACCACCGTGCTTCCTACAGCACTGAGACAGAATTCAGCTGCCCCCACCCTATTCTTTGAGCAGCTCAGATCCTACAGCCCAGGAGGACTAGAGGAGTGTGCCAGTCTCAGAAGGCACCTGAGTGGCAGTGAACAGTGCTGCATCTGAGACCCCAGAGCCCCTGCCTGCATTCTGGCAGTGGGCTAGGGAAAGAAAGCATCCAGCAGCACCAGCCTCTGTAACCTATTAGCTCAGACCCAGGGGCAGCCTCCACCTCTTCCTCCTCCTCCTCCTCTGGGCACTAGACTCTCAAACCACAGGCCTGTTGTCTAATAATACCAGCGACAGCCACCGCCACCTCCATCTGCCAACCTAAAAATAATCCCTGCTGAGCCCAAAAAAGGCTCGGCCCCCAATAGTCCCCAATCCCTCCTCCTCAACAAGCCAGGAGCTCCAGGAGATCCCAGGAAGCTGGCAGACTTGGAACTCACCAAGTGGGAGGCACCCGCTCAAGGCAGGCAGAGGGCTGGCGCCCCAGTGCCCACGCCACAGTGATGAGCACCCCAGGGGTCCACAGGCAACAGAGACCCATGCCAAGGACACCAGGTGCCCTGCTCTCCTCCTCATCAGCAGGAGGCTCAGAGGCCCTCCTGGGAATCCCAATACTTCTAAGAAAGACCTCCACCCCTCTTGGAGGAAGGTCTCCCCACAAGCATGTCACTGTCCTCTCAGCTTCCTCTGAGGGCTTGGTATATCCACAATGGGCCCAGCCAGAAAAAAAAAAAAAAAAAAAAAAAAAAAAAAAAGCCATAAATAAACAGCAAGCACTTGGGGTAAGGGCACAGGAATGCCCAGTTCCCTACTCACCCTTTGGCTGGGGTCCCCTCCCCCCTGCAGCCAGGGAGCCAGTGGTGCTATTAGCAACTTTAATTTGCTCTGCTAGATTGTATTTCCAAGAGCCCTTTCCCCAGGAGCCACTGCCAGGAAGGAAGTCAGTAATCTAATCTGGGTTCTGTTCCTTTAATGGCTCCTCAGCAGATATTCGAAGCCACACCCCCACCACCACAACCTGCAGCCCACCACAGGGCAAAGACCCGCCCCCATGCTGTGTGCCCCCAGGCAGGCAGGCAGCAGCCTGCAAGGGCACACCAGGCTGGACCTGCCACAAGGCCAGGCCACTGCTGAGAGACTGGACAGGCACCATAACTAACACATCTACTCCCAGCAAAACATCAGCGTTCCCCACTTTGAAGCCAGAAAACGAGGACAGTGACTCACCGTGGACAATGTGTGCCTGTGTGCAAGTTGTATGCCACAGCCCATCTCAGCAGGCACATGTCATCAGGAGAGGGGGCTGGGCTGAGGGGTAGGCAGGCTGGTGGGAGGCCCCCCAGGGGTTCTTTCTCCAAAATCCTCACTTTGGCCCCATATTTGCTCACCACCCTCCTGCTTGTTCATACAAGAGACAGCAGAAAAGCAGAAGTTTCCTGAGAAAAATAGGTCAGTGCCTCCAGCAGACCAGGCCCACATTATGGGCAGTACCCCAGGTTAGGGCTTTCCCACTGAGCTGCCTCTCTAGCATCCTCCCCCTTCACCCCAGGGCCACAGACTCTGCTCTACCTGGAGAGTGCCGGGCAGGGCCCCTGATACACAGCCCTCCCCAGCTCTGTGCCTCTCCTGGTCACTCAGGCTTGGTCTCCAGAATCTTAGGCTGGTAAGACATGGGCTGCTTCACTTCAGGTGCAGAGCAAAGAGTCTGCTGGAGTATGTGTAGTCTCACTGACACCCACCGCACTCAGAAAGAGTGGCTGCCACCTCACACCTGCAACTAACCACCCCTGCTGAGCTACCCCATTCCACACACAGGTGCTTGCACATGTATGTACACCGACACAATGCCACAGGCACACATGTGCACCTACAGGAATACAGACACACATGTATACATCCAGGTATATGCATGTGTATGTGTGCAGATGAGTATGTGTGCATATGCAGTATATCTGAGGCACATGAATATGTACACACAGGTGCACACACGCATGAATGTACACACACACATACACACACCTCAGACCATTAGAAGTTCGCACCAATTACTGCTTTTCACCATTCAGATCCACTCCTCATACAAGTACTTAACCTATCCTAAGAAACAGTCAGAAGGAACCCTGTGCCACCGCTGAGAAGGCTACTGGATGGCGGGGCTCTCAGGGAAGAGAGAACTGTTAACTCTCAGGCCCCGCCCCCTTTTGGTTCATCTTCACCCCTACAGCAAACAGGAAAACTGTGAGGAGACAAGGAGGTGTCCAGCAAGGCCAGGCTCCGAGAGCAGGTACCCTGGCTGTGCAGCGGGCAGACACCAGCAGAGACGCACTGTGCAGGCGTGCAGGCAGGCAGGCAGGGAGAGGTGCTGCTACACATCTCCCCAAGAGGCAGCCTCTCTCCCCAGGTCTCCAGATCTAAGCTTTCTGCCTCAGAGCATAAACATGAAACCATCGTGAGCACTGGCAACTCCACAGCTCGGCCTACATCAAGCCGAGGGCCAGCAGCTGAAAGCTGACTCTGCCCACTTCCCCACACCATGCCCTATCCAACATCCCCTCCCCAACTTCTCCCAGCATGCAGTCCTGCCTTTGGCATGTGGGTGCAGGACACACACATGCACACACACATGCACACATACCCACCGGCACTTCCCCAGCTGGGTCCTTCTCAACTGCCCAGCAGAACTGAACCTCCTCCCTCCCATCTCCATTGCTGAAACGAAGGGTGGATCAGGCTGGGTGGAGAGCAGAGGACACTGCTTCAACCAGCAGCAGGCTGAGTCAGAACCCACCTGACCTTAGGATGTTGGAGTCAGGGTACCCAACCGGAGACTCCGAGGCAGACAGAAGGTAGCCCTGGGGATGAAGACCAGCCTTCCCTGCTGGGCTGGAGGGTCAGATAAGCCAGGCCTAGCACAGGGTCCTCCCACCCCATGGAAACAGCCAGGTGCCTCCATGACGCAGACACCTGGGATGCTGAGGCCATGCCAGTAGCCCCTCCCTTACCTCAACACCTCTCCACACACACCATCAAAGTCAAAGAAAGAAGCTAATCCCCCCCACCCCCCACACACACACACATCCCCACTCCCAACCACAGGAGTAGGCTGAGTCCCAAATCAGCCCAGTGGGCCTCCCCTTTCACTCCTCTGCTAAAGCCAGATCCTAACATGGCATCTCAAGGCCCCAATTCAGGGGTCATCCAGAAGTTACCACTTCAAGGACTTCAGTCGGAGGACAGCTGAGCTTTCTCACAGGTTCCGCAGTGCCCAACACTAGCCAGCACTCCTTAGGAAGCAGGTGTGCATCCCTGGAGGCTGGGATCTGTATCCTTCCACAGCCTCCTGTCCCAACCACACTCAGTTTCCTGAGCCTTGGAAGAAGGATTTCCAAGTGCTCTGAGGCCACATGCTCTGCACAGATATGTGCCTGTGCAATGTGGGGGCCAAGGTCAGCCCAAAAGTCATCTCAGCTCCAGACATATTCTGAAATTCCCTCCAGCTCCTGGTCCCCTGGACTGCCCAGAAAAAAGAGGGAGCCAGCTCTCCAGGTGACAGTGAAATAATCACACTTCATAAGCACACACTATTTAGCAGGTAACCCACTCATTTCTTTCAAGCACTACCTATTCAACAACAAAAGAAATCTACAAGCTCATACTGTTAACCCAAGTTCCACTGAGACAAACGCATTTAGAGGTTGAGCAATTTGTCCAAGGTCATGGGGTCAGCAAGTGGTAGAGTCAAGATCTGAATCCAGAAAATTAACTGTCCCATTAGGTTGTCCATCCCCACGCATAGGACCCCAAAACCAATCATGTCTCCTCTGCTTCGAGAGGGTTGCATGCTGAGCGGTGGGTATAACCTTCTTTCCCAGCAATTTTCAGAGTCGGGAATTTCCTCCTCCAGTCTTGCCCTTGTGTGTGCCCCTGCAAGACAACCCCATTTGCCTTGACTCTGTGCTTAAACTTGCAAAAAAAAGTCCACTGCCCCCTCTCTGGTTTAGGCTGGGCAGCTATCTCTGAGCCTCCCTTCGGTGCCTCTTTTATTCAAAGATCCCAGCACATCCTTGTGTGCTTTCAGTGACAGTCCCATACCAGGAACATACCAAAGACTAGAGGGGAGGAGGACGCGGGCACTGCGCGACCGCAAGGGAACAGAACAGGAGCAGGGGACGAGAGGCAGGAGGCAGGCGGGAGGCGCTGAGTCCGAGGCACACCATGCCCTCCCCGCAACCGCCCACTCGGCCGGGCTTCCGCAGTCAACCAGGCTACAGCGCTCCCGCCCGAGGAATGGAGTTTCAAAGCCACCCTACCACAGATCACTTGACAAGACCATCCTCTCCTTACCCTTCCTTCGCAGCTGTTTCCAGGCGCCCCCCTCCCAAGCAGCACAGGAGACGTGTTCCATTCCGGAAACTTTCTCACACCCTCCCCTACACGCAGGGAGACTCGAGGGCCGGCCCGGCGACCCCGCAGGACGAGTAGCGCAGGGAGCGCGTCCCGCCTGCGGACTCCGCCGCGGCCTCGGGAGCCTGCGGGCCGAGCTGGGCGGTGTCTGGGCCGGAAGCCTCCAACGCCGCCGCCACTGCCATACAAGGGCCGGGCGCGGGGTGCCACCCAGAGGCCCGCGGGGCTCTCGGTCGGGCTCCCGGCAAAAGCCCGCGCGCGCACGCACGTCTCCCGGGCGCGCCTGCTTCCCTCGCGCCTCTCCCCGGAAGGAGAACCGCGCCCCGCTCCGGGCGCAGGGCTCGGGTCGGCCTCTCGGCCGGGAAGGGCAGCGGGGGTCGGCGCGAGACCGGGTAACTTTTGCCCGGCCCCCGCCCCTGCGCAGCCAGCACAGGCTTAGGCGACGCCAGGCGGGGCGAACCTGGAGCGGGCGCCCCTCGGCCCGGCCTCAGCTGTTCTCCCGGGCGCCCCCGGCCCGGCACCACGCGTGGGCAGGGCGATTCTAGGCGCGGGCGCAGGTGCGGGTCCCGGCGGCCCCCCGTGCGCGTACCGCAGCTATCAAGACCCGAGCCCGCGCGGAGTCGGCGCCGACCCCGACCCCGACCCCGACCCCGAACCCGGCCACGGCCACAGCGCGGCGCGCGGGCCACCGCTGGGGGCGAGGTCGATCCCGGCACCCAGGCGGCCCCGCCCAACAGTGCACCGCAGCGCCCGGGCGGGGCGCGGGAGGGTGGCGGAGGGACGCCGCACTTCAACTCACCTTGAGCCGCGAGCCCTCGGGTGCTGATCAGACTTGCTATCAAAGTGGCCACATACCAAATCATAGTACTACCGCGCGCCAGCCCGGAGCCTCATCCTATCGCGAAGTGCTCCTTCGCCCGCAGCCTCGCCCGCGCGCCCGCGCCGCTACGCCCCGCGCCGGTCCCCGAGCAGCCCCAGCGGTACGCTCCCCATCCCTCCCGGCCCGCTCCTCGGCGTTGCCTCGGGCCGGCGCAGCTGCACCTGCACTACTAGCGGAGCCAGAGCGCAGCCAGGTCCGCGGCGAAGCCTAGCCTTGGGCCCGCCCTCGCCGCCCGCCCATTGGACGCCGCCTACAAACCTGGGCGTCGATTGGCTTGCTGGCCTGCCCGTCGCGGCGCGAAGGAGGCGAGCCCATTTCAAGGTGCGTTGAAGAGCGGCGAGCACAGAGCCGCAGAATCATGCGCATTGCCGGGAAGAAGGCGCTGTAGCGTCTTCGCTGTGTTCTGTAGTCTGTTCACACTGCATGGCAAGTTTATGGTGAAAGAAATGGTAGCTTTTAGGACTGGCTGACGGGACCCTAGGAGTCAACAGTTACCCCCGACAGATCTGAGGGGATGAGGCCCCCGCCCACCCAGGGAGCCCAACATCCGGTTTGCATCCAGCAAAATGCAGTTCCCAGAGGACCACACTGATTCAGGGATGGGGAAACCCAGAGCAGGCAGCCGGGCAAAGCTGGGGAACGTCCTTCGCTGGAGAGCGCTTCAAAGGGGTCACGCGCTGCCTCTCCTCCCCCACCCCAACCCGCACTCCGCCTCCACCAAACTCGATGGTTAGTCCCACCCAGCCCGAGGACTGAGGATGACTAAAATGACCTCTGAAAGTCGCTAGGGTTTGGAATGAGTCACCGGCTCAGCTGCAGCGTGTCACGGACCCCTCTGGAGCACATGTGCACCGCGCTGCCTCCCCCAGTGCCGGTCATCCTTGCTCATCATTACCAAGTCTCAATTTCCAGCAATGAAAGTTTTCCCCCTTCTGAACAAACAAACATCGTGTGCTTCCTCTAGCACACGATGCCTTTGCTCCCCATCTCACTTGGTCTAGCCTCATCCGAGCTGCGTGAAGCCAGGATGAGTTGGCTGAGTGACTGAGGAGTCTGAGTTCTTATTCCTACAGGGGAGCATAGGTGAGCACCCCGGACGGCCCTCACGTTTCAGTCTTCCTGCCCTGGCCTCTCCACATGCTCCCCCGAAAGCAGTTGTATTTGCAGAAGGAGTATATGAGTATCATGGAAGCTTACTACAAACAATCACCTCACACCCGTGTTCTGAGGCGGCAGAGAAGAAATTTGTTCTTTCAAGGAGTGAACGCCACACAGCTCCCCAGAATGGGCTGGTGGCCAAGGATGGAAGACTGAGAGGCAGTGAAGGAGAGCTCCGGAGTTCCCTCCTTCAAGGCATCCATGAGCCACAGAGACCTGGCACTAGGATGTGAACCTGCCTAAAGCAAGGATGGTGGAGGAACAGTCCTCCCTGAAACCCAGATCGTAGCTCACTGCCAACCAGGAGGGGACCCTGGGACCCTGGTGGAGGAGCTCACTCACTGTGAAGGCTAGCATCTGGGTATAATCTGGAGAAACAGCTCTTGAATCACCTCCTACCTGACCCCAGCCATGCACTCAAGAAAAACACTTGTGACCTGTCACTCTAAGGACATCTTTCCCAGGGACCATTACTTTCCCTCCTCGTTGTGGGCCAAGATGCCTTTCTTGAAGCTCTGAAGTGAGCTGAAAGCTGCAGACCTTGTTGACATGTGTGTTCCTAAGCAGGATGCCACCGAATAAAAACTCCAACTCTGACCCCCACCCCAGGTTCTTATTGGAATCTATTTGCAAAGCTCATGCTATGGTTTAAATGGCATGGTTTAAATGGGTCCTCCCAGAGGGTTATATGATTAGAGGCTTCACTGCAGTGTGGCAGTATCAGGAGATGAAGGAATGGAAAACCTTCAGGTAGTAAATCCTACTGAGAGCTTCTGAAGTTGTGAGGGCCTCCTCTCAGAAGGTGGTGTTGGGCGCAGGCGCTCAACATACCATACCCCACCCGGGACTAAGGACCGCGCCAGCTTCCGCAATGCACTACGTCCCTCTTTAAATTAGCCAACCCATGCACACCTCGTGCTCACTCCGTACTCTGTGGCAACCCCTGATTGGCCACAGCTGGATATATTAGCCAGAGCCTGCGTCCCATTCCCGCCCTGCTTCCTCGTGGCAGCCTGTGATTGGTCACGGCCAAATATATAAACCAGAGCCCGCGTAAATAAAGCAGCAGTTAACTGTCGCCCACAAGAGCGTCTCCTGTTTCATTGAGGCTGCACCGGTCAGGTGGTTCTTATGGGCTCCCTTGGTAGTTCTCTCAAAAGGATCTGTTACCTCATCTCAGTCTGTCTCTGTCTGTCTCTGTCTCTGTCTCTGTCTCTGTCTGCCAGGTGGACCTCACCAAAACTGAACTGATATTGGTACCATATGCTTGAACCTACAAAATTGTGCACTAAATAAACTTCTTTTCTTTATGAAGTAATCTATTTCAGGTATTTTGTTATGGTGACAAAAAAACTGCCTAACACAACTAGTGATAACAGGATTCTTTGCCCTCCAAAGACTCTAAGCAGCTACTGTGGCCTAGATGGAAATGCTGGTCTCCATAGGACTGATCCAAGTTGCTCTTCTGTTTGACACATGGCAGGCAAGAGAGTGGGAAGCATCTGGGCAAACAAACTTTCTGCAAGTGGCCTGCAGGCTGACAAAAAGGATAGAGTCACTCTCACCACCTATTTCAGTCAGATTTGCTCCACTGGTTTGTCCAATTCAAGGTGGAGGTTTCTACTGAGAAATTAAAGCTGTTTGTCATATTGGAAAGAATAAGTACAGATAATTTAAAGCATAAGTTGGGTTGGAAAGGGGTTCAAAGAAACTACCTAGAGAGGAATAAGATCCTTCTGGAGAGCTCTACTGGTGGAGGAGGTGAACGGGGAAGTGACAGCAGAGAGAAAAAGGGAGAAAGCTGAGATACAGAAAGAGCTCAGGATCATCATCATTAATATCAAACATGTCAGTTCAAGAGAGAGGCATTGCATCAGCTGACAGTAGGGGCGAGATCAGTCAAATCTTTCCTTCTTGACATACAGCTGAGCTGTGGATCCAGGACAGATGCAGCCCCTGCTTGGCATGCACATCCAGCTGGGCATTCAAGGGCATCATGGATCCCAGCTGCCCAAGAGGAACATGAGGGAGGAAGACGAGCCAATCCCATGAGCGGCACCTAGGTGTGCCTGTTTGGTATCAATGTCTCTGCTGGTGAACAGATCTGTAGGGATGCTATATGTTTGGGAATACCTTTCATCTTCTCTCAACTCACAGCAGCATTTGCATTGGAAATATACAACGCCAAGTTTATTTGTTATTTTATGCAAAATCACATCTAGCCATCTACCCACCCATGTCCATGGCCTCAGAGGATATGTGAGAGGGTGACTGATGAGGGGGCTGGTGTGGAAGAGGAGATTTTTACTCCCTCTTCACACTTGCTAAGCAAGCATGACTCAAAAACTGTGCCTTGCTCACCTGTTCCTTCTCGTCTTCCTTGGTGGCTGCAGATCCCTCCTAAGATCTAGGATAAGAAGACTGTTGGGACAGCTTCTTCTGAGGAAAACCGTAAGCTCTAAGTCAAAGGAATTTGCCCAAAATAAACATAAAAGAGTATGTTTCGTGCCTATATAATAAAGAATATATCAGTTAGCTTCCCATATATAAAAGTGTAAAGGATCTTACAAAAGTCACTTGTTTGCTTACAAATCTGCAGTTGGGCAGAGGCTGGTGGACTCAGTTAGTCTCTGATCTACATGGTATCAGCTCTACTAGCACATGGACTTTCTGCTTTCATGATGGCTCTCATATGCTGTGGCCAGTGAGCTTTCCTGACCTTTAGCCAGGCTTGTCCCCTGGATGCATTACATCCTCATGTGGACTTCTCCACGGGCTGCTTGGGCTTCCTCACAGTATGGTGACGGCTCCAAGGCTGGCATCCCAAATAGAATAGATTAAGTGGAGAACATATTACCCTAGTCTTGGAAGATACATAGTATCACTCCACAGGTGTCAAAGATAACCTTAACTCCATTCAGCAGTGTCCTTGTGCGCTTGTAAGAAGAACTTGTGGATGGGAGGTAATTTGAAATCATCTCTGAAATGATACAATTTCATGAAAATAGTCTTCCAAGTTCAAGAAAAAATAAACTCTAGAAGAAATGTCTAGAGTAATAGGGGTTTTTTTTTTTTGTCAGAATTCTCCAAGGAACAGAACCAATAGGAGAGAGAGAGAGAGAGAGAGAGAGAGAGAGAGAGAGAGAGAGAGATTCAACTGATGGGAGAGAGATAAGAGACTCATTATGGGAATCTGAGAGTTCACTCATATAATCACAGAGAGGGGCTGGGGATTTAGCTCAATGGCACAGCACCTGCCTGGCAAACATGAGGTCATGAGGTCAAAAAAGAAAAAAAAAAGATTTTTATGTAACCATACAATCATGGAGGCTAAGAAGTCCAACAATATGCCATTCAGAAACTGCAGAACCCAAAAAGCTGGTGATGTACTGAGTCTGAGGCTTGAACACCCGAGTTCTGATGTATGAAGGCTAGGAGAGGATGATGTCCAACTCAGAAGGGAGCAAATTCATCCTTCTGTCTTTCATTCTATCCTGGTCCTCAACCTGCTGGATGATACCCAACCACAACAGTGGGAGTAGATCTTTTTCACTGAATCCATTGGTTCAAATGATCATCTTTTCCGAAAACAGCCTCTCAGGCACA